ACGATGGATAGGGAGGCCCGGGATCGGCAGGATGTTCGAGCCCACTCCAACCTCCCTGACAAGCAATTTCGCCCAACAAGCCTACGCTAAGGAGGAAAAGCACGGATCCCACATACACTGCGCGCTGCTCTCTCACAGTGCAATGCGCTAGTGGCTCCCAGACTGCATCGCGAGACCTCAACGGTCGTGGGCCCCATATGTGTGGCATCAACTTGGCATGACGGGCTCGCGAAACCGTGCTGCAAGGAGGCGAGGCAAAACCGCCCAACACTTTTCCACTTTGGATGAGGCCCAGAAGAAAAAGTCCGTGTTGCGCCTGTAGCAAATCTCCATATGCGGTCTTTTGGACCCAGATCCCCTCATGGCCAACTGCCGCCAACGGATCAATGCGAAGAGCGACTATATTGATTTCATGGAGTGCACCAAGTTTTTCAACACAATCACACAGGTCACCGTCCCTTCTAGGCCCTGAACACAAGTGAAGGAAGAAGTAAACATCCCGTGGCCAGAGCTGGATCTGTGACACATCCACCTCACTCAAAGGCCTGGGCTCCAGCGAAAACCACTCCTGACCACCAGACTTGTTTGCATCTGGCTCCCAACGTCTTGAGGGTTCATCTGCAGGGTTTTCTTTGGAGGGCATCCAGGGGTAAAATACCTCATGTCCTCCAGCAATGTTGATGGCGCAGACTCTACGACAACGACTGTTCAGCTGAAAGGAACTGGAACGACCCTTGCTTAGACACCCTGCGCACGCAGCCGAATCAAGCGGGTGCACAAAGCGGCATCCCTCGTCAACTGGCCTTCGAAGACGGTCCTCTGCCGCCCAGGTCACTGCATCGGCCTCACCCAAAGTGATGTGGGCCGGGTTCCATGGTGCCCCGGCCGTGTGCCACTTGATACGCTCAATAGGTATGCGAACTCGTCTGAGTGGACACTTGTGTTCTGTTGTTAAACCAATGCTCCACGGCAACTTGAGGTTGGTGTATACTTGCCCATGATCACTGTATCTCGCCAGCAACTGTACCACATGTTTAGGCGCTATCCCCCATGCCCGTCCAAGCCCTGTCATAGAAGAATCTGTGCATTCAATTCTTGTACTCCACGGAGCTGACAAGTTGAAAGAGCAAAAGGGTAGAAGAAGACAAGACATAGCCAGTTCCACCCAGACCACATTAGGGATTGACACGAGATCGCGCCTTCGCCCCCGCACAGAAGTCAGCCAGCCATAGGTGTGCTCGAAGATGGACCTGAGGCATGGCCGCGCCGAATGCACAAACCCATGTTTTCCTACCAGTCGGTCAATGACTCCAACAGGAACTCTACGAGCACGCAGTACATGGATCGTGGCTTGGAAGAGGTGTCTGCGCTTTTCCAGGCTAACCCCAACCCAGTGGCCATACGGATCAACGTAGTAGCCCTGCACCTCCTCACCCAAAGCTGAGTCCACTGATTTCTTAGCATTGGGTTCCACGCCGTGCCGCACCCAAGAGGACTCGGTGGCGTCCATCCAGGCAGCACCGACGCCAGCCTCAAGCTGGTTTGGGGCATGCTCAATGGCCCAAACGTCATCCACAATTGACCCCCACAAAGGCAGACTCTCTGGAACCACAAGGTCAGGGTGAAGCCTGTGCTCAGGCGCCAGCCCTGCCCTCATGGTCACAGTGTCCGTCAAGCCTTGCGCCCAGCCTGCCGATGGTCCAAACCCCATGGGCGCTGAGCATGATGCCGGATAGCGCCGCTGAGCCGGGCCTGCGCCACGTCCAGCAAGCACTGGAGGACCGCACAGCCAGCGTCGCCAGCGCCTGCCAATTCGCAGGCGGTGGAAGTAGTGACGGGCGTCACGCTTGGATACCGCAACCACCCCACTGCACGGAACTGTCAGGCACCGCATCTTCGGGATGAACGCAAATCGGGGCCGAGGAAGTTTTTCGGGATCTAGAAGCTGGTTAACACTTGGATCTGTGATCACTCTGTCCTCACACTCGTCTTTCTTAACAGCGAAAGCACCTGCCAGACACATCGCGCCTCGGTGCTTGGCCACTTGACCAGGCTTCTTGAGGCAGTGCAGGCCCGCCTTCACATTGCGTTTCACCAACTCGGGGTATGAACGAGCCAGCCAAGTATACCCTCTCTTCACCTGGCGTGGCCTCCGCCTGGATGACAGCAGCAGGGCATTCGGACGAATTACCTGCTCCGCCATCTCTGGGAAAGTGCTCTGCAGATGCTGCTCAAGAGGGACATCAGCAGCTTTGGTGGGAACACCCCCTTTCACACCCAGAGCTAACACCACCCCGCTACCAGAGTAATGTTCAGACTGCTTCAAATAGTTGTCTAGCCCTTCGCTCGACAAAAGAGGCTCATCAGTCAACACCATTGCCTCCAAGGCACACGCTATCCGAGCATGTACCCGCCGATGGGCTGCAGACAGCAGAGGCTGAGCACCGCCACCATCTTGCCCCCGATGCAAATCATTAAGGACCGCAATGACGAGATTGGCTCCTTCAACCAGACCTGTACAAACCTCCGGAGAATGAGCAGAACCATCAGTCACCACTGCACCGCCCAAACTAAAGGGTGGCAAAGGAAAAACATGCCCAGGAGAGTGCCTCACGCTTATCCCCCGGTCTCGCTTGAATTCATGAAGAACTTGTCGCAGGCGACGTACATGAACACCCAAGGAGCATGACCTGTACCCTCTGCCCAAAGCCTTCGCCAAACCAGCTACGGCCTCAGAGTAGAAAACGCCAAACCCACAATGGGCACCCACATCATCGCTGCGAGACGGGCCTAGAGCCCGTCGAAGTAGTCTGCTCAGGAGTTGGTCAGGGCCAGCATGGACGTGCTGGCCAGGCTCTTCTGGGTGTTGACCAGCTCGATGGCCTCCGCTTTCTCCCAGCTGCCCCCTTTCATCTTCGCCGCCTGGATAGCAAGAATCCTTTGGCACAAGATGTCCATGGCCCTCTCGATCTCCCGGCGATTCACAGAGTCCAAGATCTCCGCCAACGTGAGCACCTCCTTCAAGTCTCGGATCTCCGTGAGCCCTGTGAACTGGTGTGCCCAAGCCGCCACCGAGGCCTCCCTGAGCTGGCTTGACTTGCTCAACGTGCCCTTTGACAGCCTGGCGTACACCCCTGCCAGGAAGTGGGCCGTCAGCGCACCTGGATGCTTCGAAGCAAATGCCACCAGATCCCCTTTCTTCTTCCACTTCAAGCCGTCGACGTGGGACAAGTCGTCGTAGCTCACACGCTTGCTCTTCCCCTTGTCTTTCCACCGCAAAGGCTTTCCGCTGGAACTGTCGCTGCTGCTGCTTGAGCTGCTTGAACTGCGACTCCGCGACCGGCTGCTGGAAGAACTGCTGCTGGACCCGCGTCGCTTCTTCTTCTTCTTCTTCTTGTCCTTCTTGTGGCTTTTCTTCTTCTTCTTGGATTTCTTGCCTTTCTTGCGATCCTTCTTGTCCTTCCTGGATTCCGCCAAAGACAGGGCCTGCAACTGCTTCACTGCCGCCTCCAAGCTGCGAAGGTCCAGCTGGCTTGTGGCGTCTCCACCAGCGGCGCCTTGCCCCTGAAGCCCCAGCCCGGCCACCCCGGCCGCGCCACCTGCCGCCCCCGCGCCTGGTGCCCCGACATTTGCTGGGGCCACCGGCATCGCCACCGGCAGCGGCACGGGCTCCAGCCGACCCGCTGTGCCAGCTGCATTCACCGGATAACTTCCTGCACCCGCTATCTGCAGCTGTTGCAAAAGGACTGTGCCATCCCTGATGACCTGTTGTGACTCTGCCGCTGTTGGAAACCACTTTGCCCCTGCCCCCGGAGGAGTGCAGACCCAGTTCACTGCGTCCGCCCCAACTCCATGCGGAGGACGCCGGCTTGCAGCTCCCACCATGACGGAAGCACTCATGTGGCCTGCTACTGGAAGCACCACAGCCCAGATCCATTCTCCTCCATCCTCGGAGGTGGTGCGGGTAAGAATCTCTCCTTGGCCGGGTCCATGCCCCACCACAAACACTTCGTCGTGATGAGGAGGCCTTTCCACCACGGCAAAAGTGCCTATCTGGAATTGCCCTGCTCCTGCGGCTGCCATCACGTCGCAGGTTAAGGAAAACTGGTCTGTTCGACTGTAGCGCAGCCACCACGCGAGAAATTGCTCCAACACCCACTCGCCTATACAATTCCAGAGATGCAGTAGTTCAGTGCTCCCACGAAGCACCCAATACGAGCCCCTCAGAAATAGATATACGACCAGGCGAAGACAGAGTACGATTAAAGGAATCCACTCCAACAATAATAAGACTCCGCCCACCACGAACAGCTTCCGCGCGCCCTGCCACAAAAAATCTGTAGCTCCCTGTGAAGACAAGACTTGATGGCCAACAAAGCTGACCACCTCCCTCGCGACACTTTGTGCAATCCAAGCTCGCCAGCTCTGATGCACTGCAAGTCCAGTGAGCCCGGACACGGCAGCTGCACCCACGACGCGTATGGACATCAACCTTTTGACCTCCCCTGAGCAGCTTGAGCAATGAATGACAGAGTCAAGTAACGTGTTGTCACATGAAAGAAACTACTAGTTGAAACACAGCTCATCTGTGCAGGGGATTGTGGTCCCTTCAGCCAGGGTGCCCAAACGGTCGGCCTGCGTCTCACAGCAGGTCCGAGCCAACGACGGCCAACCTTGACCAAACGCTATGTTACAGCAAACATCTCGCGACTAACGCACACCTATACCGCGCTGCCGCTGACTCACTCACTCCTCCACCGTATTCAGACCACGTGGCTGGAGACGCGGATCCAGACACAATCCCCTACAGGATTGGCCTAGACCCGCAGGTCTCGAGCCAACTGCCAGAAATGAATTTCTTGGCAATGGACGTTTGGAATGAAAGAGTTGGGCAAGCCTCGGGTCCACTGTTCTGGTCGAGGAAGTACTTAGAACTTGTGACTTGACCCATGCGGCTCAAGGGAGAATAAGCACTGCTGGCATCTCGCGCCACCTCGCGCCTGTATGACAGCAGGCTCCGCAACTTTCGGTGCTGCAAGTCCCGATCGACGTCGTAGAAGCTGCAGCGGAACGCGGCAGGAGGCTAGCCGGAAGTGCTGACCCTAAACCCTAAACCCTAAACCCCAATCGGCAACTGCATGGCCTCTGGTACTCCTGATCTGTCATCTGCTCCTGGAAACCACCAAAAGCACGTGCTGGCAACTTGCTGCCAATCTCAACGTGCTGGCTTGTTTCTCAGCTAGGATGGCGCTTAGAACCCTCGGAAAATCAGGGGATCATCCTGAGTCTTGACTAGGATGGTCCTTAGAACCCTCTGAAAATATATTCCTGAGTCTGATCCTCTTAGACCCAATAAGAAGGGAAAATACCAAAATGTCCCACAAGGGCCTACCGAGTTGACTTCTTGAGAGGCTGGGAGTGCCGAGTCCTGGAGATCGTCATCGCCAAGGACCCGCGAGAGGGGAAGCGGCTGCCCCCGAACGAACACGATCGCATCCTCCTGGCCCAAAGAATCACTCTGCACACAGATCATGCGATTGACACATGCAATTCGTTGAGTTTTACATAATTTTATTTTGAAGCTTTGCTCTGGCTTCGCCTTCACGCCTAAGCCGCTATACAGGAAGGGCGAATCATTGCCGCCACTTCAAAAAGGCAAGTCGTGCGGCCTCCACTTTTTCGGGCTGACTCTGCTGGGCGCCCCGGAGACGATCCTGGTGTTCAGATGGTGCTTATAGGGTTTAGGGTTTAGGGCAGTTTAGGGTTTACGGTTCAGGGTTTATGGTGCTGGGTACTTAGTTGGTCAATGCTCGCATGGGAAGCATCACAGACACTTGTCGGCCTCGAGCGATGCCCGTGTTCGCTTGCTTTGCACACCTCGGTCCACTGTACATCCAAGTCAAGGTCAGGGGGTTGTTCTACTAAAGCCCGTGGATCTGCGGGCGAGAAGGCAGCTTGGAACACTGTAGCTTGAGGTCCACACGCGGGCATGTTTGGCGAGGTCAGCATGGCCAGTCCAGGCCGCGCTATAATCCGCACAGAGTATCGTGGAAATGGATGTGAGCAGCCATGGCAGTATATTCGTGGATGAGAAACACGGACCTTCCATGGGCACGCGATGATTTCTGAAAGCTTCTGGGCGTAAGGCTGCAGACTTCCTCCTCCAGGGTCTTGGAGATCTCCTGCTCTATCGCAGTCTCTGGTTCAACCACAAGAAGTACTTGGAGGTTCATGGGTAGTTCTAAGTGGGGTAGAAGTAAGGTAACTCTAAGGTATAACTGGCTAGAGCCTTGTTTAGGGTACTCGTAACCCTACTCATAACTCATAACTACCCGTGGCCGTGAACCTTCAATTCAAGCACAGGGATGGGACAGCTGCGGTCCGACGCGTCTGCTGCGGTGCCTGACTGCGGCGCCTCAGCGTGGTGGCGGGGCGCGCCACCGACACGTCCGGGATGCTCTCAACAACGTGCTGGGGCTGGGGCGGCTTCCAAGTCCTGAAGCATGGTTTCAGGGACTCAATCATGCCATGCCCGTGATGGGCAAGGTAGTTTATCATTAGGCAACCTTCGCATTCCGCGTGCCTCACACACCACACACGCACCCATGCGATCGCACACAACCCGATCCTGGAGCCATAAACCCTTATTTGCATCTGGACTGCGGGAGCCAATCAGCCAGAAAACCTGCAGCACTGCCGACCCTCAGCTCCCCTGGCTAAGAGCCCACACTGCCTAAACCTTAATGCGATGATAAAGCGATTCGAGGCTCCAGACGCCATGACCAGAATTTATGACTCCGTATCGCGGTGGCCCGCAGAAAGGCTGATCGGCAACCGCACTACCGAAAACGTCCAGATTCTTTGGACGGTGTCCTGGCCCCTGCAGAAAGTCTCACTTTCACATAATACTCTCACAGGCCTGTGTCGGCGGATTCGCCGGGGGATCACCAAGAGGTTCTGGCCTCAGCTGAGATGTTTCTTCACAGTGCTGTTGCCACGCCACCAGTCTCTGCAGACCTTGCACCCGGACGGTCGCCTGTCTCGGCCACCCGTTGCAATCCGCAAAGCCCCTCAACGCCACCACATCCCACCGAGAATTCCAGGGCCTAGTATATCCTAGTATGGGGCCATGGAGCCATAGCACGATGGAGCCAATAAGTACGGACCCCAGTATCGACACGGTCCAGGGCATATGGGCTTCCGGCTGAGAGGTCGGATTTTTGGGAGCCACTGGAGCGGTCTTCGCCTGCGAACCGAGCACTCCACGCGCAGCCACCTTTCGCACCTTTTTGCACTTCTTTGCAGTACTTCCGGCAACAAGTGTGACGTGTGGCTACCAGCAACTTGAAGCCGCTTGCTTTCTGCAGTTCTGCAGCCCCCCCGCCTTGGCAGCCTGTTTCGCTGCACCACGCGGCTTTTTCACCTGCCCCGAAGCGGATCCCCCTTGGCAAAATCTCGTTCAGACGTGGATCTATGTTGCAATCGCCGGACCAACATTCCAACACCGCACCCCACATTCAAGAGCTTAAGCGGATCCACCTTTGGTGGGTGCTCGAACTGTGGTCCAGGTAGATTCTCGAGCTCTTGTGTCCTCGGGCACCACGATGCCCCGACCCCCGATGCTTTCACGCTATTGGCACATGCCCTCGTGCAAAAGCACTACTAGAGCCCTAGCCTGTGGCAACAGAGGCCGTGACAGTTGCAGCAAGTCTTTGCATTGCACATGGAAACCTTGGGCGCGCAATGACGGCACGATGAAATTCGCTCAGGCTTTGGCTGAGAATTGGAGGTCGCTGGCAACCATGCATCATATAGTCACCGACATTATAACGATATTGTCACACGCAGTCGCGCAGTCCTACGGCATCAGAGCAGATCCCTCAGTCTTCGTGCAAACTTTGAGGTTCAGGATTTTCCGTGGAGCTACCAAATGCTACACCAAATGCGGCAAGACATGCGCAGACCTGCCAATACTTGCCCACGTTTCATCTTCAAACGCCGGAGCGGGTCTGAGGAACTTATAGACGTCCCTTCATGAAGAGGCAAGCCAGTGCGACGTCATAGTTCATTTTTACGGATAACAATTAATTGAGAATTAGAGTATGACCTGGGGACCATTTGTCAGAATGTGCCATACTAGGCTGACTTGCCTCTGAAACGGAGAAGCTAGTGCAAAGACTAGGCCAAGTGCCCTTCCAGGGCAATCAGAATTGTAAGCCCAACGGCAGCTTGACTGATATCTGCAAGAAGTTCTTGCTCACGGCTCCTTTCCATCGGCAATCTTGGCAAAACATTGCTACGTGCTCTGGCCACCATGAACTAGGAATCTTCCATCAATTTGGGAACCGGCCCACCTGGTAGACCACCGTGATGGGCAAAGGTGCCAGGTTGCCACCGCCGAAAGTGAAGGTGCTCTCGCCGATGCCCTTGCCCTCGGAGGAGACACCGTTCTCCTGCAAGCAGCAAATACCAGTGGTTTAGGGTTTAGGGCTGACTCTTCGCTACCGTGGTAGCTGGCAAGACCGCGCGGCAGGGTTGATGGCTGGTTTAGTCGCTCATTCACGTGCACGGCCCAAGGGTTTGTATTAAGGTTCTTGTTTCCCTCCTGCGCCGGTTTTGGGGGCTACAGCATGCTGCAATTCTACACGCCGCAAGGTCCTTCAAGTTGAGGGACAGGGCTGCCACAGGGTCCAGCACCTCATCATCCATGAACTCCATGAGGTCCTCGAACCTTTGAGGAACGCACTCCCCGACAAGAAGGGGGTCCTCCCCAACACCAGCCCCCACCTGACCCGCCCCCCTCAATACGTAACAGCCCACCGCAACTAAGCAATTGGATGGGCATTGTAGAGCGATCATTTGGGATTGACGAGTCCGCACTCCGGGGATGTTGCGCGACATTCTCCACTTGGAGGCTCACAGGTAGCTATAAGTAGGGTTAAAAGCAAGGTAGCTATAACTACTTAAGTGGCTTTACCTTCACTAGCCATGAACCTTCAAGCAAGGGTGGGGTGCTCTGCAGGGTTCTCTGGGAGAACTCCATAGCAGAGTTGAAGGCGCTAGGGGTTGGTGCCTGGACCTTGAGGACCATGGCCTTAAGCTCCAAAAAACTCACATCCTAACGCCTCTAACTTGCAATTCCACTCCAAAGCCAAGATCCAGATTTTGCGGGCCTTTGCAATCAACAGGGGAAGGGATTACATTGCCTATAATCACATTCTCTTCCGCCATGTAGCAACATAAGACAACCCGTTCGCTGCGTTCCTCACCCCACGGCCAGGGGATCCCTGTAATGTAAGCTGGGGCGCTTGATGTTCTTCGCATCCATCCCGTTCACAGTGGACACGACCCAACCTGGGGATCTCAGAATGCGGGGAGTTGCAAAGCATCATCCGTCCGACAGTTCCATATCGCTCGCAGAACTGTTAAACGAAATACGATCTGTTAGTATGATGACTAATGACATGAAACGTACAATAGGTGTTGCCTTGAACTCCATGTGCCTATACCCAGATGCCTGGCTGGACTCCGGCCACGAAGGCCTGGCCCTGCGGGTCGCCCGGATAACGGGACTCCTGCTTCACCTTTCCCAAAAGCACGCGTGACGTGTGGGAGGGTTTAGGACTTTTTTCAGGGGGTGAAAAGAATATAATCACTTGGTCGCGGTGCAATCCGTCCATAATATAATCCTTTTCGCAGCCTACCCACTCACCATCCTGCCACAAGAACCGAAAGATCTGCCCACACAGCTCTGCAAGCTTTGCTGTCGAAAGCAAGGAAGCACCTCGCGGACCACGGCACCGTTGCCGTTCGCCCCAGGCGCATAGCGGAGGATCCCGAATGGCTTCCTTTGGAGAGCATACGCATTGCGCAGCTCTGACACAGGAAGGCAGAGTGAGCGTGTCTCAAAAAACTGTTATAAAGGCTAGCTGTCAATGTCGCCGAGTCACTTCTTGTACTCAATCTGGTGGGTGGCACCCGAAGCGGAGCTGGGGTCGCTCAGGGGAGGGTCAGCGTCCTTCGGCCCGTTGCGGAGGAGGTAGTCCACGCCCACGGGACGTGCCACTGCGGACCCCCTTTGCAGCTGCGGAGAGGAGCCCACGAAAGCCCCGCCGAGCTGACAGGCCACAACCGCCAGGCCCAAGGCAGTGACGACGGCACCGGTGACGGAGCGGGATCGGGCCATGATTGCGATGATCGGATTGCGCAGAGCACCACTAGATCACAACGTGACAACGAAGGACGTGACAGTTGCAGCAAGTCTTTGCATGATGGCACGATGATCCTGCTCAGCCAAACGCTGGCAACCATGTATCATACTCACCGGCATTTTACCAACATTGTCACACACGCAGTCCTACGGCATCAGAGCAGATCCCTCAGCCTTCGTGGAAACTTTTGAGGTTCAGGATTTGCCGTGGAGTCACCAAATGCTAGACTGCTTGACCAAGTGCGGCAAGACATGCGCAGACCTGCCAGGCCAATACTTGCCCCGTTTCATCTTCAAACGCCGGAGCGGGTCTGAGGAACTTATAGACGTCCCTTCATGAAGAGGCAAGCCAGTGCGATGTCATAGTGCATCTTTACGGATAACATTGAGCATTAGAGAATGACCTGAGGACCATGTGCCAGAGTGTGCCATACTTGGCTGACGTGCCTCTGAAACGGAGAAGCTAGTGCAATGACTAGGCCAAGTGCCCCTACGGGGCAATCAGAATTGCAGGCCCAACGGCGGCTCGACTGATATCTTCAAGAAGTTCTTTGCTCACGGCTCCTTTCCATCGGCAATCTTGGCAAAACATTGCTACGTGCTCTGGCCACCATGAACTAGGAATCTTCCATAAATTTGGGAACCGGCCCACCTGGTAGACCACCGTGATGGGCAAAGGTGCCAGGTTGCCACCGCCGAAAGTGAAGGTGCTCTCGCCGATGCCTTTGCCCTCGGAGGAAACACCGTTCTCCTGCAACCAGCAAGGACCATCGGACTTTTTTGGCACCCGACTCGCCTCCCGCATAATTAGCTGGCAAGACCGTGCGGCAGGGCTGATGGCTGGGTCAGTCGCGCACTCCCGCACAAGGCCAGCAACTGGTTTAGGGTTTCGTTTTTTCCCCCTCCGGCACAGCTGGGGCGAATCCACATCGCACGAATGTTTACCGAATGTGTACAACTCTCTCATCGTTTACGTCACGTTCCCCTCACAGTTCAACCACGCACAGATAAGCAACAAGTAACTCATAATATGAGGCACCAAACCCAAGAGTTTAAAGTTTTGTTTGCCACCTAGCACGGGGATTCTACACGCCGCAAGGTCCTTCAAGTTGAGGGACAGGGCTGCCACCGGGTCCAGCACCTCATCATCCATGAACTCCATGAGGTCCTCGAACCTGGGAGAAAACGCACTTTTCGACAAACACCTGAATGAGAAGAAGGGGGGGTCCTTCCCTAACATCCAGCCCCCCCCCCCGCCCCCCGCCCCATGATGTAGCGCCCACCGCAACTGAGCAATTGCATGGGTATTTCATGGTTGTCCCTACTACCCCCCTTACATTCCCCCCCTTAAATCATCTCAACTAGGCTTAATCATCCCAAAACAGCCAAATTAGGGGGGGAACCTACTGGGGGTAGTATAGACGGGCGTAGTAGGGGAACCCATGAGTATTCTAGAGCAATCATCTAGGATTGACGATCCGGCGTAGGGATAACTCGCGGCATTCTCAGAGGTAGTTTTGCCTTGGAGGGTTTCTTGCATAGTTCTAAGTAGGGCTATAGGCAAGGTAGCTATAACTAGAGCTGATTGTACTTATGACCTAAAATATTTAACTGGGGTATATAGAACCCTACTTATGACTAAGCTTAAACTCCCAAGGCTGAACTTAGCCTTTGGGTTTTCGGTTGAGTACATCATCAGGTGAAGGGATTACATTGCTTAATCACAGTCTCTTCCACCATGTAGCAACATAAGACAACCCGTTGGTCCTCACCCCACGGCCAGGGATCCCTGTAATGTAAGCTGGGGCGCTTGATGTTCTTCGCATCCATCCCGTTCACAGTGGACACGACCCAACCTGGGGATCTCAGTATGCTGGGAGTTGCAAACCAGCATCCGTCCGGCTCTCCCAGAACGATTAAATTTCTAAGAAACGTACCAAGGAAAGGAAATGGAGGTTCTTCTCCTGTAGAGGTTAAGGGGTACCGGGTTGGGGTATGTTGAATGAATATAATGTAGTCTCTTCGTGCAAGGAGGTAGCAAATGTATGTCCCCTCCCTGTGCCACAATGCTGACGCCGCATCTCTGTGCTCAACCCTGGTAAAGAACCCTGAGTCCGAAATATTTTTCTTAGCATTATGATTCTTGTTATTTTGATTATCATCAGTATCATGAGTATTATTGTTGCTAATATATAAATTAGAATCGATGTACATATATATATAGCATTACATAAAAATGTATATAAATATATACATATTGTATTTCAAATATATTTCATCAATACATAATGCATAATAGAGTAGATATATATATATATATATGTATATATATATACATATACATATCATTTATTAATGTATATATATGTATGTATGTATGTATGCATACATACTTGAATTCCATGTGCCTATACCCAGATGCCTGGCTGGACTCCGGCCACGAAGGCCTGGCCCTGCGGGTCACCCGGATAACGGGACTCCTGCTTCACCTTCCCAAAGCACGCGTGACGTGTGGGAGGGTTTAGGACTTTTTTCAGGGTTTAAGGGATGAATAGAATATAATCACTTGGAAACAGAGTAGTCAGTCCTTATAGTCCTTTTCCCAGCCTACTCACTATCCTGAAAGACAGATCCTCACTATCCTGAAAGACAAATCTGCTCATACAGCCCGGCAAGCTTTGCTGTTGAAAGCAAGGAAGCACCTCGCGGACCACGGCGCCGTTGCCGTTCGCCCCAGGCGCATAGCGGAGGATCCCGAATGGCTTCCTTTGGAGGGCATACGCATTGTGCAGCTCTGACACAGGAAGGCAGAGTGAGCGTATCTCAACCAACTGTTAAAGGTTAGCTGTCAATGTCGCCGAGTCACTTCTTGTACTCAATCTGGTGGGTGGCACCCGAAGCGGAGCTGGGATCACTCAGGGGAGGGTCAGCGTCCTTCGGCCCGTTGCGGAGGAGGTAGTCAACGCCCACGGGACGTGCCACTGCGGACCCCCTTCGCAGCTGCGGAGAGGAGCCCACGAAGGCCCCGCCCAGCTGGCAGGCCACAACCGCCAGGCCCAAGGCAGTGACGACGGCACCGGTGACGGAGCGGGATCGGGCCATGATTGCGCGGATTGGAGGACTGGAGGCTGGGCGACAGCAGGCAAAGGCGCACACTTCGAGCCTTCGGGAAGATGGACTTTGTATGGGATGAGTGATGGCATCTGAATGTGCCTTATGCAGCTGACTGACTTCGGCTCGAAGAGCATCGAAGAGCTAGGGTTCTTTCTTTCTGAGGCTGCAACGCGTGTTATCTCCACACCAAACCAGGACTACCAGCGCCAAAAGCAGTCATAATAAAAATATCAATAATAGTTAACCATAAGTAAAATAGGCAACAACAGGTAACAATAGGCAGCAACAGGAGACAAGAGCAAACGCCAGCAAATGATGTAGGTACTTGATCGGCAAAGACTGGGCCCGTCTTTCACCCAGACTCAGAGCGTCAGCTCGATCACCTTAACCTAAAAAACCTTTAAAAAAAACCCTGAAATTAAAAACCCTAAGACCCTAAAAGCACCAAAAAACCCTAAAACCTCTAAACCCCCGAGAGGCCCCCGTGAAAAATCTGGAAGCCCCCCACGTTGGAGCCGGTCACGCCGGGCCTCGGATTCCTCGGCCGTCGAAGCCAGGGCCTGCTGCAAGGAGCTCGGGGGTCGGGGGGGCTTCAAGAAAAGGGTTTAGGGTTTAGGGTTTAGGGTTTAGGGTTTAGGGTTTAGGGTTTAGGGTTTAGGGTTTAGGGTTTAGGGTTTAGGGTTTGGGGCTTTTTTTGTTTGGCACCCGCATAGCTGGAGGGTTTCGACTCTCACACTCGCACACGGCCGGCAAGGCATCGGTTTAGGGACAGGCTTTCCAAGTTTACAGGCCGTAAACAGGGATTTTAGTAGGATGAGTAGGACTTTTTTTGGGTGTTCCTTAGTCTTGGGCCTGTAAGTTTGTGGAGTTTTTAAGACTTCCAAGCTTTGAGAGCTCATGACTGTATGGGGTTTGCGTACGTGTATTTAGGATTTTGGGGGTTACAAGTTTTTATAGGGTTTAGGGTCTAGGGTTTAGGGTGGCTATAAACTGGGAGGGGGCCTGCAGAGGGGTCTGCAGCTGGTTCTTGAAGCCTTTCCCCTTTGTAGAGTTGCATGCGGGATGCACCGAAGCACCAGTGACAGAATTACACTACAGAGTTATGATTATAAGAATATGAGAACATAAGAATATAAGAATGTAAGACAACAATGGGCAACACATACCCAAGGTTCGGATTGCCGGGCGTAACGAGCTTGTGTGGCAGTCTGGAGGAGCGGCGGGGGGGGGGGGGGGGGGGGGGTGGGTTGGGGGGGGGCGGGATGGGTTGGGTGTGGGGGTGGGGTGGGGGGGGGGGCGGGGTTGGGTGGGGGGCGGATGGGTTGGGTGGGGGGGGGGTGGGGTTGGGGGGTTGGGTGGGGGGCGGGGTTGGGGGGGGAGGTTTTCTGAAAGGAAGAATCTGCAGGCCAGCATGGTGCAGGGGCAAACTTTTTTCTCTCAAGCGACAAGCGATGCTAAAGGCTTTCAAGAGCCCTTTGCAGCCCAACAATCTCGAGCTGGCTGAGCTGGCAGAGTGGCAGCGCGCGGCCAACCACCGGGCTGCACTCCTTGGTTGGGACTTTAACTTTCCATGGTTTTCCGAGAGGTTGTCAAGCATCGGTGCACAAGCAAGACTTGAATAGCGCCAGGTGACAAACGGTGGCAAATTCTGCCATAGCATTGAAAAGGCCGTCGGCAAAAAAACATGCATCGCCTTAGTCAGCTTCTTCACGATAACTCGGTGTAGCAAGACATTCTTTTGCAGCTCCCAGGCGAGTGGCCAAACCAGCGTGGGCAACCATGCGTCAGACTGAAATGATAAACGGAGCCCCCTCTGTCGCACCGATGTGCAGTGCCACAGCACCTCAGCTGCTTGATGGCCGGTGGGCATCACAGGCATCGCTGCGGCGGCACAAGTGGCCAAGGAGCTCATGGAAGGAACTTCGATATCTGCCGAGCCATCAGACTTCACCTTTCTCCAGCTATGGTTCAGTGCTTCAAGAGTGGACCCTACACAAAGTTGCACAGCAGGGCTGAGGGGTCTTCATCGGTATCTTCATATGTTTCGGAACTGCAAGCGATTGACAGGGATGGCGGGCTTGCAGGGCAATTGTATGCTGCTAAAGGCAACTGGTAGACTGTGCAGTCATACTGTCTGGCATACAATGGCATACATGGCCTCCACGATCGGGCAGGAGGAGATGTCACTGGCTCGAACAACGTCCCGGTACTTGCCTACCACAGCAGCGGCTGCAAGTGGTTCTTTTCCAAACATGTTGCTGTGATATCCTCCCTCACCAAGCCCAGGCTATCTTGCATCCAATCTCAGAGGTGGGCTGGGAGCTTCGTAAGGCAAGCGCCTGCGGGCAAGGTGAGCTTGGCAGTGATCTTCCAGCTGCTCGATCCACCTCGAGCATCTTTCCAGCGAGGTGTCGAGGCAGGAGCTGCGAAACAGAAAACATCATGTCTGAACAGGTCTGCTAAAAATGTAGGGTAGCACAGGAAAGTACTGCAGTGGAAGGCACGGTTCAAAGCCACGCAGGCAGCAGCACCCCGGCAGAAGACGATGCTGTTCCTCAAGCATGGCATGCTGCGACAATTACTCACTTGGCGAAACTCCACTGATGCAGTTTGTTAGTCCTGCTGGAGACTCGCTCGCACACAGCAAAGGAGGTTTGCAAAAAAGCAGGTGAATAAGCCCAAAGTTCCCATCATCTGAAGCCACAAAGGCCCCCAGTTCTGCGGTACCCGCGCTCTGCCTCGGGGGGGGGGGGGGGGGGGGGCGTCTGTCCTTCCACACATCATCTACCCTACACTACTACAATCCCTATTCAGGAATGCGAACCATAAACCCTCTTAGGGTTCATTTGGTCGGATCCCTAACGTGTTTGGTGCACAGCGGTTTAAGCCGCCAGCCTCCAGGCTACCATGTTCGCGATCTCCGGCCGGCGGTGTTCGCAAACCCAGGGATGACCATCTCCGCAGGCCAGGCCTGGAAATGCGGCGGCAGGGGTTTCTTTTTTGAGGTGTTTCGATGCACTTGAGAGTCTCCTAGAGTCAGAGGGTATGTAGGTGCATGTGGGGATTCTGAAGCTGTTGATTTTGTGCTCCTCAATCTCTAGTTCCTGCACCCTCAGCATTGCAGGCCGAACAAAACCTGGACGTAGCGGAGTGACCTCTACAGCCGGTTCGCTGCACACGGTTTTAAGTGCAGGAAAGAGCACCTGACAAAACCCAAGGCAACTAAAGGTGGCATGAGTGGCTTTCCGGAGTGCGGAAAACAAGCTGCTGAACTGCCAGAGCATGACCATAAAATCACCGGTGTCGGCCTGCATCACCGTGCACCGGTTGGCCTGGTGGACCCTGGTCATGATCATCGAAAAAATACGAGCTCATCACCTGTGCCGGCCATTCTTTTCAATCATGATGATGATGTATTGTGATCGTCTCATATGATGATTTGATAGAATGTTATTCATTTTCTTATTCTGCTTGTAAATATACTAGTATAATGATGTACCATTACATTAATCTTATTCGTATTGTTACTGTGTATCATACAACAGTATTCTAGCGTTTTGCTTTCTTACTGCGTTGACATTTGCCAAATTCTGATATCCTTGAAACGTTAAATTAACATGTGTTCTACATGATATTGGACTATCAGTAATGATACTATTCTGGTACATAAAACTACATTCTGAACGGCAATACAAGCATTGTATTCGTATATATTATGTTTCTGCACTCTGTTGTTATTTGATTCTTGTGTTTTGTTCTTTTCGTCTTGCAGTACTAATTTGATTGATTGTGAGAGAGGGAGACAAGCAAATGAAAGGATTGGTATAAGAGTTGCCGTCGTTGTGTGTATGTTTTCTGAGTATGTTCTGGCAGATTCTTGTATTTGTAACCGTTTCTACAATTACAATATATAAATGTATATATATATATATGTATATGTATGTATGTATGTATGTATGTATGTATGTATGTATGTATGTATGTATGTATGTATGTATATATGTATGTATGTATACTATGCTATGCAAGTCCTGGCCTTGGGATACCCGTAAGGATGTGCCAGCATGAAGATATTGGCAAGGGTGTAGAGAGATCCGGACTTGTAGGTCAGCGAGGCCTCAGCTGCCAGATGCTATGACATACTGTGCCACATGCTTCGGAGCGAAGAACTCCCGGAGAGCCTTCAGAAAAAGTCGGGTGCAGTTTTTAGGGTTTAGGTTTTAGGGTTTAAAAGATGGACAACGTGAAGGTTCCCGATTTGAAGTCTCAGCTCTGTCCGGTCGCCTCCCCTCGCTGCGTGTCGTGGTTGTCCAGGAAGACAGCAGCAGAGTCACCGGAGATGAAGCCCCACTTCTCACCAAAGGTGTCTAAGTACCTGCGCGGTGCAGAACCACTTGTCAGCGTCAGTCGCCTCTATTTCGCCACATGCTACTACATGCCGCCGCTTTCTAGTGTAAGTGTCTAGTTTCCCAGTATCGACCTCTACGCCCAACGCACAGATGCCTCAGCTTGCCCTCGTCCATGAAGTTCGGGGCCAACTGTCTTGCATAGTTGAACTCCGTCACCTGTGCAGTTAAGTGCAACCAGCTGCTCCATGCCCAGGTTATAGTTCTCTCTGGTTTTAACACAAAAAGGCTTGCAGCAACTGAAGCGAGCGGCCTTGCCCAGGTCGGTGTACATTTGAGGCGTCACAGCCTCGCCTCCGCCCTCAACGGGGGCACTCTCATTACTTCTCTGTACTCACCTCTCGTGTCTCATGTACAAAACGAACACGGTGGCGCCCAAACTGACATTCTCATTCTGTGCCTCAATCACCTCCTGGAAGACCCAAGGAGTTCCGCCCTGCGTCTGCTCCAAAACCTTTTTGAGCTCACCTGTGAAGACAACAGAGCATAGCTGTTGCTTCAAGGCCGACTGAGCAACAAAAACCAACCCTGTCCTTGAGTGTCTGGACCGTATCATGACTGAAGCAAGAACACAAGGGTGGTTGCACCTGCATCCATGTGCTTTGCCGCATCGATGCGGAAGCCTGCAACGCCAATCCTCAGTCTTCCGGGGCGAGTTCGGGGCTGGGGGAAAATGTTGCGTGCCCTGGCTGTGAGAATGAGTTTTGTCCTCATGTCGCAACCAGCCCGAAGGCTATGCCGAAGCAACATATTTGAGTGATCGGCAACCACCTCCTCGAGTTTAGATGCAAGTGACTGGAGCAGAGTGGAAAGGTACTGGCCGATGACTTGCTGCACCCGCGCACACCCCGTGCACAGATCGGGGAGCCCAACCAAATCGCAATTCCTAAGCACAGCTGCAGAACAGAATGTGCATGGGAACATGGGCGCATGGTGCGGCAATCGAGCCGGCCATCTAGCTGCGAGCAGGCTGCTGGACGTTGAACTTGTCGTGGTAGTTGGTCACGCCACAGTTTTTACTCGTGTCATCCTGGCTATGGTGAAAATCCTCCTGCGTGTAGATCGCCTCAATGCTCCGTGCAGGCAAGGGCGCAACACGCGCAAATGTTTGTGCAAACCAGGGACCGACTGCAAGAACCTACGACAATTCGCAAATCATTCTTCTGGTCCTCTTATGACGCTATGAGAATGGATCTTCCGACTGTCGGGCGAGAGTCCGTACTTCGACCACCATAAGAGCTTCCAGCTGTTCCAACACCACTTCCTTCACGGGGTGGCAACTAAGAGACATCCATGTGGCGGGCATGCAAGGTGTGATAAAGCTTGGGTCCTGCAGCGGCATGGTTGACCACTGCATCAGCAATGATGCTGACACCTGCCTTGGAGCAGCGGCCGACCATGTCCCTGAACTCCTGCTCGCAGTGTCTTCTATAGGATTTAGGTTGCAGCTTACAACTTGTCAGAGGCTGATCATGACGTGCCATGACTGCCATAGTATGACGTAATAGTGTGCTGTGGAGACCTCGGTGACCAGTCGCGCGCCATTCGCGCTAAGGAACGTTGCGTGAGGCAGAACAGACCGCAACACACGCCCTGCGCCCCCCCAGTCGTCCCCAATCCTGCTCATTCCCGGAGCGGCTTGTCCTGGGACAGACATGTTGGAGCTGCTGGGTAAGGCCCCAACATGCAATGGGAATGGGAACACGCAGGCACAGCAACACTTCTGATTCCTAATTCTTGTCTCGCTGTCTCAAGCTGAGCTAGGCCCCCTGGCAAGTTGTAAGTCACTGGTTGGTATCGCGTCCACCACTGCCTCGGAAGTTCTGCCACCCATGCACTTTGCCATCAAGACACACACCATATTAGGACCATATTCACACCCCTGCATGTCACTACAGGTTCGTCTAAGCCCAGCTGCTGACCTTGGATGTGCTCCATGGGCGGGGAGACTTGCACTGCTGAGAAGCCCTGCAGGTACCAAGTCACAGAAAAAGCAAGAAGAGAGCTACAAGATGGCCTTTGCTCCTTACATTGTCGGACTGCTTAGCAGATGAAAGACAGCGGCATGGAGGTTGGCAGCTTTTACACCCGCCCGGAGAAAAGAAGCAAGCAGTTTTGTAACCAATCGCATGCTGCCCAACTCCTTCGGGCCCAGCCATTCCTCGCATTCTTTGGCCACATCTCCCCAAGACCTGACAGTGTCAAAACCAGCATGCTACTGCCACTGCACAGCCACTGCGACTCATCCTAAAGTGAGGCCCTCACCACTCAAAGAGATGCACGAAAGCGCTTCTCGAAGCCACTGGCGGCCCTCAACTAGAGACGGTGGAAATGGCAGTGTGGGTGGCTGTTGGAGCCATAGGGTGAGTCGGAACCAGTAGATGGAAATAACTCAAACGCTAGAGGAATCTTGGCGAGCCGATGCCACGCAGCCTACTAACCAAGGTAAGCAGGACAATTCCTTCTGCATCCGTGCTCTCGTGGACAAGCTGACAAGCTACAATTGCCGCTGTCTGCAGCGGCAAGAGTTAGCGGGATGCTTGCCCAAATGTGTCGCATCGAAAACCTCAGCACCGAGTCAAATGTCAACCAAAGATTGTATAAGCAAGTAGGGCCGTCAGTCGCACAGCTACATTCCATTGGGGGGTTTCCGTACCCCTTTTGGGGGTCCCTTTAAGGTGATTCTATTCTGTTTGGGGTGTAAAAGGGGTACCCCGATTTTGGGAAATGCCCAATTTTGCTTTTTTGTCAGGCAGCGCGCGCGACGCTGGCGGCCCGTGAGCGAGGAAGGTGCAAAGCCAGTTTGCTCGTGGCTGCGGGAAGTCGACTCATGCGCTAGGCACAGATGTGATCGACTTAAATATGTATATTCTGGCAGCACAACAAAAGAAAACGCGCATGCTAACTTCTGTGCTGCAGCGCAGTTGTAGCAACTGATCCTACACTCTAAGTGCCAGTGCGAGTTGAGTTCGATTCCAGTTAACTCTCCACAAGTCTAACATCTCTCCCACCGATACAACGCAGTACAGCATTCTACATCAGCAGTTGCATGTGCATGTGCTGCAACACAGCTACGTGCTTATTTTCTTTAGGTTGCTGCATTTCTGTCCCTGTCTTCCCAGACTGCCCACCAAGTAGGCCTTCCGCGTTGTCATCCCAAAAAACAGCCAGGTTTCGGCGAGTTGCGTGTCTTTGCGAGTACGAATATGAAGCCTGTGCACTTGCATCCTCTGCTTGTTGCCAAAGTCATTCCATAGCATTTGCTGCGCATCCCTGATTCTTAGGGGGGAAACATTCCGGACATGCAGATCTGCAAGAGGCCTGCCCACACTCGCAGGTGAAGGATGCTGACATCGCCTGACGAACGGGGCGTCGGTTTACTGAACTGGGGGGGTTCTTCACGAAGGACACATCGCATCTTGCCGCTTTGCGGGGTCATAAGACGCATAAGACGCAAGATTCTCAGTCCTTCAGCGTGTCATACAGGCGATTGCACCTGGCAATAATTGCCACGTGCGTTGATCGCAATGCGCACGGGCAGGCAAGGACCAGCTAAGGGCGAGGCTTGCTGCAAATGTACCTTGAAGGATCTTGGAGTTACAGGAGCTTAAGAACGCAAAGTATGCTAAGTTCTCTAATCATCTGTAATCTACCCTCATAGACACAGACCGCCGCTTTGGACCGATTAATGTTCTTCCGCATTCCGAACCATGCTTGGGGAGAGCCTCACTTTTAGCAAGCTTGACTGTTTCAAAGTGTGTTACCTGTCATAGCCCACCTGGAACATAAGTGCCCATGCTGTGAGCCCCTTGCAGCCTGGCCGCTGCTCTTCGACTTTGGCAGAAAGCGATGCCTCCAGCAGCTGAAACCTGACATGTTGGGAGTGCGAAAGACAACATGAGGCCCTCGTCGCCCATATGGGTAGTTCTCTGAATTAGGGTCCCCTATATAATACTTACAAAAAGGACCCCAAAAGGGACCCTAATTTAGAGAACTACCCCTATGTTAGTTAGGGGCCCACTGTGCCATTCTCATGGGCCGTCGATATCAGCATTGCGAAATAGTTCTCTCTTGTTGCTGCCGTACACAGCCATGCGTCTCCGAGACATGCACATCATGTGGCGAAGTCAGACGATTAAGAGGATTCGGGATACGCCCATGTAAGGGACAGTAGTAGAAGTAGAAGCCTCTGGCTGTGCTGCAACTTGGCTGAGACACTCGTTTGTTCCAATCGGACATCTCTAGCAACTCGCAACTCCTCCTGCATCTGATGGCTCGCCTTTTGGCCGCCACTGCAACGGCGACGGGCGAAATACGGTAGAATGTCTGCAATTTGTCTCCTGGCGAGCGCCGAAAGACTTGGACGAGCTACCGTGGAGGCGACCGCAGGTCTATGCAAGGGTACAATTAGGGGCAAAGGTCTGGCTACAACAGAGCGGACATGAGCAGCAAATTTGACATGCAAGATGCAGTGAAATGGCAGAAACGCCTCAAATAGGGGAAGAAAGGCACGGGGCAGGAGCGAAGGGGGTAGGGCGAGGAGGTTATGGGGTTATGGGAATGTGAGGGCGCTCGAAGAGAGAAGCGAAGACTGGATGCTTCTTCACACCCTTGAGGAATGGAATTATACAATGTCTCCTAGCAGGCACTCCCCGAAAAGGTTGGGAAGGAAGCAAGAGGGAGTGAACTCTTCGGAGATCTTTGGATGTCACATGACAGCTTGCATCGGAGCCTAGGCGTGGAACAAAATACATGATGCAGCTTTGGAGTACTTCTTCAGAAATCTGTGGCTTTATGAGAATTCTATAGTGGATTCTTGGTACCAACAATTAACAAATATGTTCAAGCTGCCCCTGAGTTTGACAATGGCTACTGCTAGCGCATCCACGGCCTGTACCCTCAGCACATCTGTCAACGATGCAGTCGGGAACAAGCCTGGCTCGAGGTGTTTCCGTGAAGTGATGAAGGGCCTTTTAGTGGGATGCCTGGGGGCGGCTTTGCTGTAAGATGTTGCGACTCGTCGGACGGCCCAGCAGTTACCTACCAGATATCTCCTGCCAGAACACGACGTGCTCTTCAACATATTGGTTGGCCCCAGAGCGAGACCTTCTTTCCAGCACCTGCCGCACCTGCCGATCCGGCCTCGGCACAACAAGCACGTTGGGAATTGCTCAAGCTGTTGCCAACTTCCTCGCATAGTCTAGGCACTGGATGGGCTGTCAAAAACAGTTCCACCTCTGGGCTTTTTCCATTCAACACATGACCTTAATATGGAAGGCATGATTCCCTCGAAACCTTCGTCAAGCCCTCCAGACTCTGGGAGAACCAGGCAGGTGGAGTGTCCGCGCAAGGGTGACGTCCTTCATCTTGGCCTGTTGCCGGTACCTCCAAGCAGGGAACCTCCAGCGACCCTAAGCCCAGGGAACTCAAGATGTGAGTTGAGTGAGGTGGGAAAAAGGTAAAGGTCTCAGGTGCAGCAAGCGTCTGGAGCTCTCAGACTGGGCTGCTTAGCCTGCGAAAATCGTCCCGCAATGCTCTGCACAACCATCGGCTCGCTTTTTTGTCAACTCATGCGCCTCACATGAAGCCTTTTCGAGAGCGCTCTGTCGACGAGTGCTCACCACTTCATGCAAAGCCGTGCCGGGCAGCAATTCTTGCTCCTCTGAATCATCGCTCAAAGGACGAAGCTCCGAGCACCATGCCATGTGGAAGACCAGGCATTGCACACTCTGCCTACGTAGCATTAAGTGTGATCATGCGGGCAGCCATCAAGTGTCAACACTTGTAAACATTCATAAACAGCTATACGGCGTGGAATTCAGCTTAGAGATCTGGACAACTTGTCGCAAGTACTCGCCCCTGACCTAAAACACTGTCAGGACTATCAAACGCTACTCTAAAATCCTACGGTATCCAACGGACTCTTTCACAGAGCTCGCGGAACCAGCTCGGGCTAAGGCATGCACAAGCTCGTAGCTGGTGCAGCCTCAGCTGAAACATACATTGAATTTGCGTGTTGCTTGTCTTGCTTCAAGTTTTCAATCTCAAAGCGCAAACTATGTCGGCGTAGTCCGCAAACAGTGGAAGACCGCAACGCCAAGTACGCGCCTGCTCCACTGTACTATGCAAAGTGCTCCCGATTGCGACGACAGCTCCGGATGACAGTTCTGCACTTCACATGGAACATGCGCACATCACCAGGAGCACGATTTCGAACACCTTATGCACCCCGTCTATACCCTGAAAAACCCCAGGGGCTACCCTCAGAGGCTTGGCAAGAGCCGACTTGAACCCGAACTCTCGCATCCTGACCCGCGCGAGCACTTCTTTACTCTGAGCATGTCGCTGCACGGCCTTTGATTTCTGGCATGAGGGAGTACGTTCAGCTACCCAGTCGTGCCAATCTGCAGCCCAGTGTCAGCAAAAATCTGACATCCAACTGGAGGGCAGCATAACCATCTCAAACATCGAGCGCCAGGAATGCCGCCATCATCAGTGGACACTCACTTCCCAGCCTTCCATGATACTTACGGGCCTCACATGAACCTGAGCTACAGGCCCATACAGCTGACGTGCACGACATGGCATGACATGAGCGTGGGTCGGGTCGACATTGTACCTAGACACGGCCTGCCTTGGCCTTCTTGGACATCATCTTCTCCCATTCGGCCGTGAGTGCCGCCTTGTATCTGCCGTCCATCTCCATGATCATCTCCTGTCTGTATTCTTGCTTAGCCAAGCAGCTATTGCTTCAACAGCAACACATCATGGCATTTAGAAGAAGTCCGTAGCGTGGAAGGGTCTCAGACTTTTTACGGCTTGAAGGTACGATTCTGATTGGTGCGCCAAGGTCGATGAAGCAAGTCAGTGGGTACATAGAATGATGCCGTCGAAAACTGCTCTTCGCAGCCAAGCAAGATACTTGGCTGCGATTCATGAATGCGGTCATGTCGCGGCAAGAGACCTGTTTCATACACTGGACTGGACTGTTGAGTTGCAGCCGTCCCAGAAGCACATAACAGCCACTGAGCCACTGGCTAATTCCTGGAAACCTTCTGGAAAAAGTCACAAAGCCAGCCAATCTGACTCACACGTATGGGAAATGGCCTCGTTGTAAGGATATTCAATTTCCTCTGCATCTGCAGGAATCTGTCCATTGTCCTGCAGGGCGTCCCAAAGTGGTCAGTTTGTAACTACCTGAAGAAGCCGAAACCTACTTTCTTGTAGGTTGCCTAAGAATTCTACACAGCATTTTTGGTCATGAGCTACAAAAATAGGTTCTTCAGGTTGCTCATGGAACACTCAGCATGACGGCAAGCCATGTTGGATTTGACGCCTGGCTCACAGGATGTGAAAACACCGCATACATCTGAACGCACACCCGCCAGACCTTCATCATCTTGATGTACATCTTCCATTCAGCCAGGCACTCGCTCAGATGCTTGTCCAGAGGATGGGCCTTCATGTGCTTGTACGCCTGCCGTCGAAGTTGGCAAGGGCTCGTCGACATTTCTTTCTTTCGGATTGTTTTCTTCATTTCTTTCTGTCTTTCTTTCAGGGGACCGGGGGGGCTGACCCCCCCGCGTGGCGCGCGCCCTGGCGTTCGAGGTAGTCGGTGGCACGCAGCAGCTAGTGCAGAACCCCTTTGGCTTTTTTCTTTCTTCTCCCTCTCGTCTTCATCTTCTCCTTCTTCTTCGTCTTCTTCTGTTCATTCTTCTTCTTGCATTCTTCTTCTTCGGGGCATGAAGGCCAGGGAAAATAATCCTGACCAACGCGCTCTGGGCGCCTCTCCCTCTCTCTCTCTCTCTCTCTCTCTCTCTCTCTCTCCTGCGCGCAAGTCTGTTTGGGAGAGTTGCCACCTTTTGTGACCTCTGTGTGGTCGTACAACGGGTCTCGGGGTTCCAAGGGGTCACCAAGAAATGTCCCCTACGACAACCTAAGAGTGCACCCTGTTAAGCCAGTACCGCCTTGACCTTTTCCGCTGTGTCCCCCAAAAGAGCTAGTCGCTACTCGCGCCGTCATGTGTTCTTCGTCTGCGGCTATCCACATCTGGTAGTGGGGAACCACGGCGATCGTGGTGCTGCAGCGCGGTGATGTAGGCCCCTTTTCCCTCCACTTGAACTCTCTGAGGATGAGAACTCTTCAGTTGGTTCTCGAGCTTCTTTCCCCCGGAGAGGTGTTGTGTGTTGGTCGTTGGAGGTGTGTCGGTGTGATAGACGGGTGGGAGTGGGAGCGGTGCAGGTGGGCTTTAGGGGATCGTGTCCGGGGTGTTTGGTGCCTCCTCTACTGGGGATTGGTCGGGGGGAGTGTGTCAGCCATTCGTCAATCGCCCCCTAAATGCCCAAACACCAGAACCAAATGGGGTTTTTGGGTGAGCGCTTGATCTGTGAATTAGCGAAATACAGAAGGTGACGGGGTGCATTCATTGTAGTCACTATACTTATATGCATTATTATATTCGCATATACATATATATGTGTGTGTATGTAGATACACAAGAAGAAGTTAAGAAGCAAATGAACATGAACAGACATAAAGATAAGAAGTAATTAACTCAACTGAACGAAGAATAAGACAATAAACAAATAACACATGTAGGTACACATACATACATGTGTATATATGTATAGATATGTATACACACGGTGTATGTAGGATTCTCACCGCAGCCTTGAGCTTGTCGGCTTCGGCCAGCTCTGCGGCGAGATCAGGGAATTGGGTCTCGCGGGGCACACGCAGGATCGGAGCAGCGTGGCATGCATTGCATGCGTCATCACTTGCAAGACTGCGACTAGCAAGAAATGGCCATCTTGAGACAGCATGAGCCTGCAGAAGGACCATGGTCGCCAGCACATGGGCGCCCTTGTAGATGTAGTTGCACCTGCATCTCAAGCATCACACGCTGTAGACAATATACAGGCATTGGCTGAGGCTGGCGCTCGTAGTGGTCGTCCCGAGTCGTCTTGGGCAGCCAATCCCTCACGCCTGCAAGGCAATCACTCACCGCCGCTACAGTATGCACGTTCGTGGCCACTGACTTTTCCAAACACGCACGCATCAGGTGACAAGCCTACGAACTTCTCCGGGTGATCGATGAAGTAGCGGTTCGTGATGATCTGCCCAGCATAGCCTCAGCATGCTGGAACCTTTCTCAATACCTGATCGTACTCCGAGCTTCGATGACGCGCAAGGGTCTCGGCGAACCACTCTGACTATCGGGCAAGCCACCCGGCGCCAAACTGAAGCCGGCAAAGTTCTTGGCTTGCACACCTTGTCAGGGAACCTCTACTCAACATCTCTCGCAGCAGCAAGCTCTAACCAGCCGGGGAGGTGAGAAAAAAAACTTCCTGTCAAAATTATCTTTCAAAAGATAACAAGCTCCCAGACCACGCCTTTGGCTGGAGCCATGACCGGCATCAAGGCTTCACCGTTGACCCACCAGCCCTGATAAAACTTGAAGCCGATGATGTCGTCAAAATCTGTCGCCCCATGGCTTCCCAAACATTTCATGATCACCTGCTGTGGTCAGAGACACCAAAGAACCGCAGCTTCTCTCCAATGCAAGGGTTTTCAGGGCCGATGCCCAGCTCTCGACATGAACAAACCCTCACAAACCTTAGGAAAATAGTTGCAGGAGTGCATGCGGGTGACGTTGCACTCTATCTCCTTGCCGTCCTTGAGGTGGACCTTGCCTGCGAAACACGTCGTGGATACAAGGAACACACTATGTTGTGCCAGTAACAGCACTCTCTGAACCTGTCAGTACATGTGTGGACTGGGCTTCAAACTTCAACAAGCTCAACCTGACGTTGACCCTCGGTACTCTGGGGCATCCACCTTTGCTGAGCTTATCAATCTCACCATGGATCACCTCGCACACCTTGGCTAGAATGGCTGCTCAAGCGTGTAGGAACCACAACGGGCCGGTCTGAATTACTCAGCCTTTGTCCTAGAAAATGCAGGCAGCTGCACCTTGTAGTAGCAGGCAAGGAAATAGATATCCGTCACGCCGAACCTAGTTCATGGTTGGGATCATATTAAAATGGTACCCTAAACCCTAAACGCTAAACCCTAAACCCTAAACTGTTACTCAGCCTTTGACTAAGGAACGTGGTCGTCTGCGTCAGGACGGCGCTCGATCGGTCCGCGTTGGCGTTGACAACTGGGTGGCTCCATACGTCCACTCCCAGGAGATCCTCGGATGCCGGAAAAATGCGACATAAAGGGGTTTATAGGGTTTAGGGTTTAGGGTTTAGGGTTTGGGGTTTGGGGTTTAGGGTTTAGGGTTTAGGTAGGGTTTAGGTTTATTTGGGGTTTTAACATGGCCCCTTAAGCCTCCTTCAAAGGGTTCTGAATCAAAATCAGGGGTATCTAAGGGGGTCCCCTTTTTTAGGGGCACAAGCACTCTCAGAATACGAGAGTCGTACATCTTCTGGAAGGCTTCGACGATGAAGGGCCCCGGGATCGGAACGGCAGCGCCGCTGACCATCCAAGAGACCATCTTCGGGCCGGCCAGGTGGCGATGCCGGCAAACGACGTAGACCTTCTTGGACTTCCGCTCCACGCACGTGCGCACATTCTCGATGGTGAAGCCGCCGTGACCCACAATGCCTTCCAATGTGAGTCATATGAGGAAGCTCCGCCATGCTGTGAGGAATCGCTGGGTCATGGGGTTCACTTACATGAAACGATTAATGTTCCTTTCCAGCTCAGATGCATACACTCGCGTCCTTCAGCTTGTCGTAGTTTATGCCGTCGTAGGAGCCGTGGGTGATGTAGCCTCGCGCGCTGTCAGAAGGGCCGCAAATGGCTGAGAAGGCAACAGCACGAATGTCCCCGGCAGCCTTACGCTTATATAGATGGGAAAACTTACTGCTTCTGCACATTCCTATACATGCAGAAGCACAACATGTGTTTATAGTCATGTTAGTCGCTGTAGTAACGGAATATGAGGAACTAACGGAGGGACCTCTACGTCTCTACGTCATCGCAAGCACCCTGTCGGGAAGGAGCCCCGCATATGCATAACATGTACAGGCATGTACGAAACTGTGTATGTGTGTGTGTGTGCCTGACTCTCTGTCGCTGGTCCTGTCTGCACTGCTCTGTCTCTGTCTGGTCTGCTCTGTCTGGTTCTGTCCGGCTCCTGTCTGGGTCCGGTATGGGTCCAGTCGGGTCTGGTCTGGTGTGTCCGTGCACGCGCACATCTGCGCTCATGCGTATGGGAGGGAGAGACAGGCAGAGCTATAGAGAGAGAGGGAGAGAGAAAGAAAGAAAGCGAGAGAGAGAGAGAGAGAGAGCCAGAGATAAAGTTTTGGCTTAATGCCCTTTGCAGAAATGGCCAAGCGACCGCCAAAGTCCTCACGACCAGGCCACTTCAAGTCAATGGGATTGTAGAAAACACCTGCAGCTGCATTGGTCCAACAATTGCTGGAAGATACCCTGCTCCATCCATGCTAAAGCATGTTCCACTGCGGAAGTGCTGTGTCAAGACGCACGTGCTAGAAAGGTCGCGATTGAAAATGCCGATGCCTGGGCAGGAAATCAAGGCCGAGCACTTGAGGGTCTCCGACGCGTCTTCGGTCGTTAGGCTCAACTCCTCAGGTGCGACTACAAGGGTGGGTGCACTCATGTGGGGGGTTTCCGAAAATTAGGGACCCTAATATAGACCCCCAACATAGTAAGATTCCCTTATCACAAGGACCCCAGAAAGGTACCCCTAATTTCGGAAACCCCAGTGTGTGCCCTGTGTGGTGATCATGGTAACATGGTGTTGTGCTGGCACTGTCTACTTTCCATCCCGGCGACAATATGCCCACCAGCCAGGAGGTCGCCCTTCACCTCCACCTTCTCAAGGGAGGTGCCGAACCTGCATGGGCAGGGTTTAGGGTTTAGAGTTTAGGGTTTAGGGTTTAGGGTTACAATCCTGGCTGGATTCATTCCACCATGGCATCTAGCGGCACGGGGTGGTGCTCCATGTCGGGGTCAGCTGAAGACTGACGGCCTATATAGCACGACACGACGCTCCACCTTGAATGCTACAGATATCAGCTCTATGCGCTTCAGCGATTGGATGTGAGGTTCATAACAACGCATCTCAGCATTTTACTGAGCAAAACGCCGGCTTCCTCATTGGCATCCATTAAAACATATCCCGGAAGCCACTTCAGAAGCGTTCAGGGCTCCTTTAATATAACAATAAAAAAAAAGAAGATAAGAATGAAATACCATAATCATAAACTTATACACTAATCTAGTAATACAACAGAGTGATGTCGTGCCTACAGGTAGACCCAATCAGAGACCCCAAAACCATCACTACTCAGCACTTTCAAAAACACATCCCTCCTCAGCGAAGACGGTAGAACCTCTATGCGAATCAGCTCTTTCCGCAAAAGCAGAACAGACTTGTCAAATGGGTTGCCGGGTCAATTCACACGAACTTCGTCCAAAAGTATCAGGGTGCACAAGTTGGATATCAAGGGAATGCGGGGAATTAGGGCCCTATGTATGATATATACCCTTTAAGGGATTATCTAGGGTACCTCATTTCCTCATTCCCTGCTAGCCAACAGTCAGTTCAAAGGTGAGCAGCTTTCAGACAAGAGGCTTGGCTTTGTCCTCCAGCCCATGCTTCTCTGCACAGGCAACGCACATGTCCAGGATACTGTCGCGCGAAGGCCAGGTTTTCTGCTCCTTCAAAGCAAGATGATGCCCTACGCCCAGCAAAACCAAAACCAGTTTCCATGCGATGTTGATTCCTTCTGCGTGTCTGGAGCTTCTTCCTTGGTCGAGGACTCCGCGAGGACTCTGACACCCTAAGCAAGTCTAATGAGCAAAAAGGCAGAAAAACCTAGGGTGTGTTGTTGCAAAGTCCTTGCACCGAATGGTAGTAAGAACATCGTTCTGAACAGTCCGGTCGCAACAACAGCAACATTCATAGCGCACCGAGTCGCAGCACAATCCAAACGCTTTTACAGTTGTACTTTTCGCAGCCGCAACAAGAAAGAGCACCTGCATGCCGAGCTGTGTGTGTCACTCCCGTGAGGTTGTAGCGGTGGCATTGCACCTGCACAACACCTCCCGAACATCGCATACACCATCACATGGAATCATGTAGCTAGCTGCTCGGCCATCAAGGCCACAATCGTCCGATGAGATTTAGCTGCTTGCAAGCATTGCAGCTTCAAACTGACACTACAGAGTCTGTGTATGTGCTAAGTCTTAAAAGGTAAAGAAAGTGGCGGCGCAGCGGCGGCGGCGGTGGTGCGGCGGCGGCGCGGCGGCGGGGTCGGGGTGTGTGGGCGGCGGGGGGGCGGCGGCCCCACCTATGGCTCCACCTTTGTTTCACCTCTGTCTCCACCTTTGTCTCCACCTTTGTTCCACCTTTGTTCCACCTTTGTTTCACCTTTGTTTCACCTTTTGTTCACTTTTTTTCACCTTTTTCCTAGGAAAAATGTGACTCGGACGTGCCCCAACCCCGACGCCCCAAAAGGTGGCAGAAAGGTGGCCCGGATCTCGACCCCCGCCCGGCACCCGTGCAAAAGGTGGCGAAAAGGTGGCCGCCACGCCCCGCCACCCAAAAGGTGGCCAAGCAGCGGCAGCATACCCTACTCCCACACCTCTTCCCTTCCCCCGACGAACCACATTGACCTTTAGGTTATCCTCCCTATCTTTTTCCTACCTTTCCCCATTCACCTTTAGTTTACCTTTCGCTCACCTTCGCTGTCCCCCACACCTCCTCCCTTACCTTTTTTCTACCTTTCCCCGTTCATCTTTAGTTTACCTTTGTTTCGGCCTTGCTAACTATTTTGTTCAACCCAGAATATACCAATTATAAGAGCTCATTTAATACGGCCTGCAAGGAGACCTTGAGAAAGAAGCTAGCTGGGACAAAGCAGCCCTAGCCACCACTAGCCCGCACCAGCAAGCGATCCTCGTCCGCGTGCACTTCTGGGTCCAGATACTCCGGGACATAGGTTCCCTGGTTGAGGTGAGGGGTTTAGGGTTTTAGGGTTTAAGGGTTTAAGGGCCTCGGGTTTCGGGTTCAGGGTTCAGGGTTTAGGGTTTAGGGTTTCGGGTTTAGGGTTTAGGGTTGAGGAGAGGGGACCAAGAGTAGGTAAGCGGCAGGGCCTAGGCAAGTTGGCTCGTGCCTGATCTCAAGCCGTCTGGCCAGCGCGAGTCCAGCCCAACTACTTCTGACCCTAAACCCTAAACCCTAAACCCTAAACCCTAAACCCTAACACAGGTGAGCCTTCTCAGTCTGCAGCTTCGTGGTTTCGTTGGCCACATCCCTCCATGTTGTTCCACCGAAGGCCTCGTAACCTGGCCAAGGTAAGCTCACTGAAGCTCTGCGAACAAGGGTTTAGGCCCTAGTTTAGGCTGCTCGATCCTGAGCTAGCTGCTATTACAAGGACGTCAGTCGGGCAAAGTAAGCCTGGAATACAAAGCTCTACATCCGGAGCCTTCTATGCTAAAGGGCATTGGAGCAGAGCACAACTCGCCCTTTCTCCGGATCCACCAAGGCCGGGAATACTGAGCGGGGGTTGCAGGCTGGCAGGTATGGGGAGCCGAACAGTTGCGCGTCGGTGGGCTTCAGATGTTCTGTGTCAAAAGTAAAAAAGGCCCAAGGATGCATTCATTAAGGCTTGGATGGAATCCCGCTCGGCTTGATTAGTGATTAGTGATTAGCTTCCACATGCAAGATGGAACCGACACTTAATCACTCATCACTAATCAAGTGACACGGGATTCGCTGCAGGCTTCAGTGGACGGCAGCTCCTAAACCCATTTTGGACTTTGGACATGCAGGGTGGCTTCGATACAAAGTGAAAAGTGAAAAGTGAAAAGGCCCCACAGGGTTGATTCCATTGAGGCTTGGATGGAATCCCGCTCGACCGCGAAGCAAGAAGAAGCGAGCGCTTTACATATTAGGAAGGAGAGCAATAGACAAGCCAAATTCACAAAAGTTTGAAATCACGTCGGAAGCCATTGAGCCCTGACGAATCCTACCAAGAATGTTTTCCAACGATCCCCAATGGCCGAGCCACGCTCCAGGATGATAAAGTCCTTGCGGTCTTGCCTGCGCTTCATGAATCACGGCGTCAGGGGTCCCGGGGCTCGTTTTGCACTCTCCGGCACAAGGGGAGCCTGAGAAAGTCGACGGCTGTCATGAGGCCGCCCATACCCCCACCGAGAATGACAATGGGATGGTCGTACTGGCCTCGTTTGCAGATGTGGGGCTGGAGGATGACAGGGCTCATGCTTCATGCTCTGGTTTGCGTGGGTCGTCCAAAAGGTATGCAGAGGCATGTGCCAGCGTAGTTACTCTTTCAAGGCCCATGTCGGTTCTCTCGTTTCAGCATGTCTGGCACGTGCCAACTCAGCGGCTGGTACTCCTTAGTAGGATGGCCCTGGGAGAGATCTTAGTTGAGAGATCCGGTCGGCCACAATTCAGCCAGGCGACGCCTTGACGCGGCACTGCCATTTGTATAGCCTCCTCCGGACATGGTGGTGGACCTGCAAGCCAGAACTGCGTTTACGCATGGTAGAAAGTCTGAACAAGCCTGGACATGTTTTTCTTCGCAAATGCCCGCCCTGCCGGGACCAACTCAGCTATTGCGACCCTAGCCAGACTCTGAGCGTTGTCCTGGCTCTAGTAAGTGCAACAATGTACGGGTGCAGCGGATGCCCAAACAGAGGTCAAGCCCAAGCGGCTTCTACGGACACCACCGGGAAGCACAAAAGCCAGGGGCAGCTTGAGCCATAAGCCATAAGTGTGCAGCAGGCAGTCCCGGCTCAAAACAGGCTGTCGACTACTCAGCCTCATCACTCCATGTCCAACAAGCACGTATTTCATGGGGGCATCAACGCTTCCGTCGTGCAATGCCATCCTGATGCCATGACTCTGCGCACAATGCGTCGGCCACAGCCGCTTCCTCGTCCGTGTAGAAAGAAACTAACCTTAGGACGGGCCAGGCAACACCACCATCTGCATGTCAAAGACATTGACAAGCCGCCCGCCACAAAGTGCATCACTCCAGACTGACACATTATCGAAGCACTTGGAGCACTTGGTTGGAAAACATGCGGGACTCCGGGACAGCGTTGTGGGATGTAGTGAACCTGTTACAACGTCTCAGCACGCCGCATCATGCGCAGCCAGCGACCAAAGCGTCCAGCGTCAAAGGTCTGCAAGTTGCATATTAACACGGGACTGTTTATACGGGAGTTTCGAAGATAAGGACCCCTACAATGGACCACCAAACAGTAGGATTCCCTTATACTAATGACCCCAATAAGGTACCCCTAATTTCGGAAGCCCCCATATGACTTTCCTCTTTGCAGTCAGCCTGATCTGCGCTTTGCGCCCTCTCTGCTGCCATGCCTGCACCCGAGCGCATGGGATTCGAAGGAGCAGGAGTGAGAATGCCCCTGTTCATGCTGCAAGTTTCTTTGCTGTTCGTGCGGGGCGACGTGAGATCCGTGCTCAGCTTTTTGAAGCTGATATGGATTGTGATTGCAGAAGTCTGCTCAGGGTTGCGTTGTCCGAACGGATGATCCAGTCATGGACAGAATTCCGCTCACAAAAGTCGCTGTAACCCGATCTTCTTGTGAAGGACGACCCCAGCAACTGGCGACATAAACTGCAACCTGTATAGATGTGCTGCACTGTACGAAGCTCTTCCAGACGCAAGCAAGGATCACGCAGCGCGCCCTTCTGCTGTCGCAGAGCTGCTCAGCCCACTGCATTGCGAGTGCTTCGATTCCTTCTGCGAGATGTCTGTGCGTGGAGAAGATGCGTGCTGACAAGATGTTGGGTCAAGAGATGGCATGTGCAGTTGCCCAACTCTGTGGAAACCAAGCGCTTTCTGCCGTGCTCTCTGATTGCATTCTGATAGACTTGAGGTTCGAGCACCGCAGTGAGAATGATGTGTTCACTCGAAAGGCACGTCATGACCTCCGACAGAGTTCGCCGTTAGCCACTCTTCCTGACAACAGGTACTTAGTTCGTGGTAAATCAAGGACCTGACTGCCCGGATGTGGAGTACCTGTATCAGCTTGTGTCCATTGCAAAGACGTGGCTCTATAGCTCTAAGCCCTAAGACTCTAAGATGCTCTAAAAGCCTCCAAGGCCTCCCAGTGCCCCCGCAAGCTTTTCCACAGGGTCGCGATGACAAGTCATCTCAGGGCTTCCACGCGCTGAGCTCAGCATCTCTGTGCTCGAGGAGCGGAACGCTTTCGATGGTTTGCGAAGGATCCCACCACCCTGACATCTTCCCAAACTCTGCATCGTTGCATGTCTCATGCTCAATGCTTTGCCAAGTCCTGCTATGAGAATCTGCACTGACCACTGACAGCCTGGCAAGTATCAGTGGCTCGCCTGACTTTCAACCCTCCTCAGACCACACAGCAGCGACACACCAGCATCATGGTCGATGTGTGGCATCACTACCGCAGCGACAGCCCTCTGCCTTAACACGGCTCACCGAACAAAATCGAGCATGCTTAGCACACCGGCATCATCGGCATCATGAGCCCTGAGCTTACATTTCCAGAGCTCGTCCCCTCTTGCCCACAGCCTCCGGGTGTTTGCAGCTCCTCTGAAGGCCATCGTGGCACTGGCTCTGCTGCTGGGAAATCGGAGAGTTGGATGGCCTCGGATTTCCGCAGGCCCGAGCTGCCCCAATCACAACTGCTAAGCAATCTTAGGCAAAGCTAGAAAACACCAATAAGCACGCTGCTACGAGGGCTTGGGGCAACATGGTGCAATTCCCAGCACATCAGCAAGGAGCTGTGGTCCGCGTTGGCACGCGTCGCAGGCTCTCTAGCCTTTTCTCAAGCTTCGACAGATACTTGTCCTGGCACCACGCATCACAACAGCTGACGGCTCATCGATGAATGGAGTCTATATTAATAATATTTTTCTGAACAATACTAATATATAATACTAGTATTATGAGTATTTTTGCTCTTATTCTTCAGATTATACAGTCGGCCGAGTTTTTCGGCCTAGAGGCGGTCCACGAACCCCTTTAAACCCTGAACCCTTAACCCTAAAGAATGCTCCTATTCCTGCGTCCTGGCTTGTCACCAGGTCGGGCATCGCCGGCCACGATGAGACGGCCTCAACACTCGAGCGCGCTGCAGAATGGCCAAGCACTTGCCCATGCTCTTTTGCCTGCCCTTGCTTCAAGGTAGGTCACTGAACATCTTTTGAAGCAAGCACTATTACGAAGACTACTAGCAGTATTATTAACATGAAAAAGCTTCACTTTTATCATTTCTGGTGATGTTCATATAATTAACCTTAGGTTTTTTTTGCGGTTGTTTGTTTTTTACTATTCTCAATTTTGTATATTCTCACTAGTGGTAATCATATTTAGCAAGATTCAGAAAAACAATCAAGCAATATTACTAATGGTATTTAGCAATGTTGCTAGCAATACTGCTTATGCAGTTCGAAGAGATCGATGCCTGGGTCGGGAATCCGCCCTCCGGCTCCGGCAGAGCAGCTCGGATTGCTGCTGCCCAGTCGCTGTCGGAATCCTGGCCACGCAGCCTACGGGTTAGGGTTTGGGGTTTTTTTTCCGCTCCCGCATAGCGGCCGAACCGCAGGCGGGGTTTGATTCTGTCGCTCTTGGAGGGAAAAAGCTTCGATCGATCCAGTTGAGGTTTCCTACTCAAACAGTGTAAACCACCCCTAAAAAAAATCTACATAAAGGCTCCACAGAGAAACCCAAATGGATCAACATAAATTCAAATCTCACTCTAGCTTCGCCCAGTAGCACTCACATAGAGAGTTACAGCTTCAAGGGTTTAGGGTTTAGGCTCCCTGAAACGTGCTACTGCAATGATGCCAAACATGAGTACCGGACAGCATGGCTCCAAGTAGAGGATAAGGAAGGGTGAACAGGGAGGGCCATCTTTTTGAGGCAGGCCGATCCCGAAATCTTCAGGATTTGGATGCCCCCTTGCATCTCCGGCTGTAAGATCTTGAATGTCGTAATGTGGGTTCTTTCCGACATTAGGGATACCTTTCTGGGATCCTTATTATATTATTTATTATAAGGGAATTCTACTATTTGGGGTCCATTCTAAGGGGTTCCCTATTTCGTAAACCTCCAGGTAGGGCTCGCCTCCGCCTTCTCATCTGATGAGGCCGCCCATGCATCCTCCGACCAGACGACGTCTTTCAGATGTGTGCAAACCAAACTTTTGGGCTGTTCCCTACATGGGGGTTTCTGAGAATGGGGGGCTCCGAGAATATGGATTATAGTATTTGGGCGTATCATACGGGACCCCTGTTTTGACAACATGCCTACATATCAGGCGTTAAACCCTAAACCCTAAACCCTAAACCCTAAACCCTAAACCCTAAACCCTAAACCCTAAACCCTAAACCCTAAACCCAAGGCCAAAGCAGCCGGTGCAAGGGCCACTGGCTCTTCTCCTTCACGGCGCCTGGCCATGCAGGCGTCCACTCTTCCTCAAGCAGGATCCCTCCCCCACATCTTGAATAGGGTTTAGGGGATTTTGTTTGTGGACCGACTAGCCAGAGCACATCGGGGTTCTGCGGTCCGACGGAGGAGGACTGGAGAAACCTGCCTAGCAGTCTCGCAACCACACTGCAGGGATGCAAACCTTCGGATTTCGGGTTTGGGGTTTAGGTTTAAGGTCTAGGGCCCCGCAAGCGCGGAGAAACAGGTAACAAAAAGAGCTCAGGTGGCCTCTGAGGGCCAGGGCACATCTGCCGAACCTTCACCGACACCTCGATGGCCATAAGAGAAGAGGAACTCAGGCGTGTAGTGCATAGTCAGAAAGGGCTTTTTCGGGTAAGTGAGTGGAAAGACACCTCGCCGGGTTTGGGGGACAACTCATAACGCGGGCCATTCAACAATTGACATTCGGCTCATGCCCGATACATGACCCTGAAACCCTGGCTTCATGAGCACCAGCTGGACCTAGATTCTCCACTGATCCCTCTTAAGATGCACCCTGACCAGGCTCCCAAACAACACCAACAATCCCCTCAGCCCTGGCAGGCCCCCAAGGCGTTTTGGGCGTTCCCAGTATCTGAGTTCAGGTGCTAAGCACACGAAGAGCTCGTCGAAATCAGAACAGTTATACATCTCATTTCCGGTGCTCTCATGGCTTAATGTCTGGGTGCATCTTCAGCAGGGGCTGCAGGCCGGCTTGGATTTACATGCAGGGCTGCGAGGAGTGTGTCAAGAGACCCCCCATTTCCTGTCTTATGCCAATGCTGAAAGTCCCTTTGATGCGCAACATGACCTGAGCACATGCTCTCTTGCAACCACCTCTAGTGAGTTCGACTGGGTTTTGCAAGACTACGCAAGTGAGGCACCAGCAGCAAAGTCCGCTTATCTCAGCATGCCAGGTCGCCAATAGCTGCGGGCCAGCTGCCGGTAGCTGCGGGCCAGCTGCCTTCTGAAGCTGGGCCGGCTGCAAGCCAAGATGACATTGCTCTTTATGAAGCGCAAGTTGCCCTCCAACCTGGCCTCTATGGCTAGGACACCACATGATTGGCACAGTGGCCTAGGCCACCTGCTGGGGATCAGCTAAAGGCTAAGGCTTTGCTGTGCTTCGTTCTCAGGTGTTCGACCAAGTCTTCCGAATGATCCGGCCGTCTGCGTGGACGATGTGCGAGTTCGGCACAAGCAGCTGCTCGCCTCATCTGCAGCCTACGGCACGTTCGCTCGCACTTTTTCCTCCGAGAAGGACTGCGGGTCCCCCAACTACTCAGCTGCTGTTCCGGACCACTCCACCATCGAAGGGTTCGGAAAGCTTTGGATCGATGCGGCCTGTCAATTCGGGAGGGGTTGTGTGGGGGGGGAGAATCGAGGTCGTTTGGGGGGTTCGTCGGCCCGACCCCGGCGCCAAGTAGACAACCCTAGGTGGCCAACGCACAGGGTTTGCAACTAAGAACGTCTATGCTACGACATCCGGCCTGCTGACGGACAGTGCCAGCATGCGCAATCATTTGACTGATATTTGTATCTAGAGCGAGAAAGTTGGTTCTATACTCAAACTGCGCGGCTCCTGAAAAAATCTGGAGCTGGAAAGCGCCTGCTCCTGGCTGCAAGTGAAAGCCGCCGTCAGCGCCATGCGGACACCCCTGGACACCTTCAGGACCTGCAGGGGCTGTGGCAGTTCGGAGTACCATTCAGAGCTGCTCACAGCGCCCCCTTTGTCTCCAAGCATGTTCCGATATGAAGGCAACACCGACCCTTCTCAACTTGCATAAAAGCAAGCCGACCTTGTGCGGGTTCTCCGCGTCACTGCTGAAAGCCACAACCCGTCCAGCCCGGGGCTCAACCGCCGCAGCAGGCACAACAACACCGTTGCCCCTTGATTCCTCGGGGAGGAGGGATTCGATTGCACGCAAGCGACAAGAGCAATGCAGTCCAGTCTCCTCGAAGATGAACTCACCACCATCGAAGTCCTGCGAAACTGCACGGCAGCAGCGTAGCAAAGCAGCTCTGACTCAAAGGATTGCTGCCGTAAAGCCTACTGATACTGCAAGTATCCATTGACGAGCAACTGACACTCATCCTCCAGTTAATGTGTCATGGACTCTTGGATCCCAGGTCATGGTCTGCAGAGTTCAAGTACAGCAGGACGGTGTACGCGAAGGTGCCATATTGCTCCGTATCCTGGGCATGAGGCATCATCAACAACAGCTGTGCACCCTGACCACGATCTCCTCGCCCCCGTCCCACCTACTACTCTATCGAACCAGTTCTGCTCCGAAAGGAAGGCTAGTTGGAATCGATTTTATGCCATCCGCACAGCACACACACCCATCCAGGCGCCGGTTCAGGGCTTATAGGGTTTAGGGACATGGGACACCGAGTCTCAATATGAGAGTGCCAATACTCATCGTGGGTTGTCTGCGCCGTCTTGCTGCCATTGATGTGAGAGAAGAAGGTCATGTCGTGCCTGGGGTTTCGGCTTAGGGGTTGAGGGCTTGTGGCGTATAGGGTGGACAACCATGGGCAGAATGTGTTGCCTCGAAAGGCTGGGCCAATGCCAAGCGGCTGAAGCCCTTCCAACGGGACTCCGAAAAGCCTCGAGAAGAGAGCCATCCAATGAGGTTTTTCGGCCCTCCGTGCTGGAAACATGTGCGCAAAAGACAAGGTGACAAGCACAAGGCACCGAAGAGTGCCCATTGCATGTCTCCAATTCAGTGGCTTCCGATATGCTCAGGCCGGGCTGCCGCGACAGTTGCTTCCGCAGTGCCTGCCGCACCCTGCTGTAGGCCTGGTCGGGTTGCAAAAAATCACAACAAAGTAAGGGTGGTTTAGGGATGTTTGGGGCTCACGCAAGGTGTTGCGATTTGCATACGGCAATATCTCCAACGTGGCATCACTGCTCGCTCAGACTTTGTCAGCGCCTGCTGCTGCCCTAGATACATACCTGTGCAGAAACTGCGATTGTAGCAGAACCCTTCTGCCCCACCTATTCGCCCTAGCTCGTGTCAACAACTATGTCCACGAGCATCAAAGCAGAGGCAGAAGCAGAAATATCCGTTCTACAACCTGTCATTCTACATGGCCTCCACTTGCTTCTGCGTAAACTTCAGGGATTTGAACTCCATGAACATCGTCAGGTTTACGAAGTTGTCCTGCTGCAGTTCGCTCTTTTCTTTCAGTGTCATGACTGCCACTCCTCGTTGGTCCTTGTAGGAGATGGTCTCTGCATGCAGATCCACCACACTTGGTGGACCCGACCCAGCTCCCCAGGCCTGACCAGGAGGGGGTTTAGGGTTTTGGGTTTAGGGTTTAGGGTTTAGGGTACGGGAAGATGTTCGTCAAGGTTGTCTCTGGCTCTTTGCCATCGCGTCTCTGGTCTTCAACGGTTGCAGTTGCACTGGCAGCGGGGCCAGGAGAAGCCATAGTAGCAGTCGAATGCTGGAAATAGTAGCGTCCTTGCAGTAGCCATCAGAACATCATCATCATCATCGTCAGCAGCAGCACGTCTGAATGATGCCAGTTCTGATTGGCTGGCAGCGGAATACGCTCCAAGGGACCTAAAGCCTAAACCCTAAACCCTAAACCCACTTTGGCATGCTCCGGAGCAACTCCGTTCCACGACCCGAGCCGTGATGCGTTTCTAGGATTTGGGACATTTCGACTCTCACACTCGAACCGCACGTCTGCTCAAAATCATGGTCCCCTTTTTGGGAGATTCTGGGCCGCCTTCTAGAAGTGACCCCAAAAGGGGCGAAGTGACCATATGTGCTATGATCGAATGTATGATAACCTGTAGTTGGGCAAAATTCTCTTGCCGAAAGTGCAAAAATCTTGCGGAGCCTGTCGCTGCTCCTTTCAGACACCTTTCTTGGGGCCTACGCTCGTCCTATCCAGAAGCAACCACCGAGCACAACAAGCGGAAAGCCACCATCTTCGACCGCATCATTCGACAGCCTTTCGCGGATCACTTCATGTGCTGTGGAATGTCTGAGTCTGTTGTATATGAAATCAAGGCAAGCACCTTTGTACGACACTGATATGTGTCTACACGTGCTGATTTGTGCTGGAAGCGTACGTATTCTTGTTTTCAAAACTTCATAGTATTGGAATGGCACTATTAATCGGAATCCGAAACAGCGGAAGCGAGCTGTACCAGAGCAGCAGCAGTAGCAGAAGCAGAAGTAGCAGAAGTGCGGTGCGCGGAGAAAATCTTGCGCCAACTATGAAATGCAAAGTAGTAGTCGTAGTAGTAGTAGTAGTAGTAGTAGTAGTAGTAGTAGTAGTAGTAGTAGTAGTAGTAGTAGTAGTAGTAGTAGTAGTAGTAGTAGTAGTAGTAGTAGTAGTAGTAGTAGTAGTAGTAGTAGTAGTTGTAATAGTAGTAGTAGTAGTAGTCGTCGTCGTCGTCGTGGTCGTGGTCGTAGTCGTGGTCGTAGTCGTAGTCGTAGTCGTAGTCGTAGTCGTAGTCGTAGTAGTAGTAGTAGTAGTAGTAGTAGTAGTAGTAGTAGTAGTAGTAGTAGTAGTAGTAGTAGTAGTAGTAGTAGTAGTAGTAGTTGTAGTAGTAGTAGTAGTAGTAGTAGTCGTAGTAGTCGTAGCAGCAGCAGTGACTAGCAGTCGTCAACTCCATCAGCCGAATGCCAGAGCCAAGCCTCAGAAACGAGCCACTGCAGGAGTTCTGCAAGCTCCTCTTGGCACAGTGTTGGGATGAATTCTGATTCTGGGTTTCGAATTTAGGGTTTAGGGTTTAGGGTTTAGGGTTTAGGGGTTAGGGCCAAACGGGGCCGTTCGTGTCCTTCACCTCTGCCGCCGGCACAACTCCGTCCAGCACGAAGCGTGCGCAGCGATTGCCGCGGCGAGGAATTCCACAAAGGCCAAAGCCTAGCACTCCGAAGCCGTCTCCATTACGGCCGCACCAACGCAACCGAAAAACCATCGCACGAGGCAGAACTGCAGCATGGCCCCCAACAACTGACTACCTTTGATAGCAGCGGAACATCTCACGGGCTCGCAGAAAAGAGGCCGCAGCTTTAAAAAAAAAAATCACCGACATGGCCTCCTGTTCCATCACCCCCAGGCGCCGAGCAGGTTACGTTCCTCACGACGAGGCTGGTGCATCTGCATTCTGCCGAGTACCGCACTTATTCCAAAGGAGTTGCGGAAGGATAGAAACCTGAACAAGCCCGTGGCCATACATGGCCTGTTAAAGCAAGCTTCATCTGCAGGGCATCTGGAAGGTTTCTTCTGGCACTTGCCCACACCTCGAAGTCTGTCTGCTTTCCTGGCCGTGGGGGGGGACAAGAGCCGGAAGTGGTCCAAGGAATCTCACGGAAGTCTGCAGCCCCCCCCCCCCCCCCCCCCCCCCCCCCCCCCCCCCCCCCCCCCCCCCCCCCCCCCCCCCACTTCGGCCTTTCTGGGATGAAGCCGGTCTTCCTGGATGCTCTGCAGGCTTCCATGTGCTCACCAGTATGACAGCGGCTGCGGACACAAGAAGCACCAGCAAAGCCATCCATATCCTCAGAGATGGTCTGTATTATGATAAATTATGAAATCGTTATAACGGCCACATGCACCTTCTGCATGTTGGCATGTTCCTGTGTCTTCCGAGATGCCAGGCGTTGGATCTTGCCTCTGAAGCCGCAGCGGCAGGCTTGTCTGGGAAGGACTCGGTGGCTCCCCCCCTAATTTAAACCCTAAACCCTAAACCCTAAACCCTAAACCCTAAACCCCCAAGGGCCTAAGAGGAAGGCCCGGGAAGGCAGGGAGCAACTCAGGGACATGTGGGGGCTTGGCTTCTTCCCCTTAGTCATCCAACAATACTGATACTCAACTTTCCCCATAGACTGTACTAAACTACAAAGAGAACATGGAATGTGCACATTTTTTTGTTACCCGCATGGCTGGAGGAACCAGTCCGCAGGGATTTGAACTTTAGGGGCTTAGGGGAGTTTGAAGTTTGAATATCAGGGGGGTGGGTGAATCCACCCGCCTGGGGCCTTTGGCTCTGTCTTGGCTTCTTCTCGCCGACGCCGGGCGGTGCTCCCCGCCATGATTGGGGTGCGAGAGAAGCTGAGACAGCCTGAATGACCGCTTTGTGTATTCGCATGACTTGTCTGCTCCTTAACTTGCGCCAAAATGCAGGGCATGCCTCTAGCCGCACTACACGTTCAACGGCCAGTCTGGGAGATCTAGACAGGGTCGACTGAAATCATCCTGGCGTGTCCTACCCGGCTTCTACTGTCCTGGTCTATGTTGAAGCTTGACACCGCGGAGCCCGCGATACGTCCAGGCGCTCTGCATAGCTCTTTACATGCTTGGGTCTTGGCTCCCGTCAACTCAAAGTCTCAGGCACCGAGGCAAGCTGACATCATCAAAGGCACTGCACTTCTTTACTTGAATCCAGGGAGGGCTTGCGACCGCATGTGGGTCACGTTGTGTCACGACATGTCGCGACTGTGCCATCTTCGGGCATTGTTCAGCACGGGAGCTGTCGGAACCGTAGAGTCGTAGAGCATCAGAACAATCCGCCAAGAACTATGGAACCAGCCTCGCCGTTCCCACACCTCCAGTCTAAGCATCCATGAGAAAAACGCTGCTCGCCCACATGGGTATCCCCCTAGGTTCATCCGAGCATCTTACACACCCACTTCCATGTTATATATTCATTTATATATGCTATAGATATGTATACATATTTTCTAGTCAGCCATAGGATTGAAGCTCTGAGGCCTGGTGGGCTTTGTAGGTCTGCTGTGCCCAATTGCCAAAGGCACTGATCGAAAGCGGCACGGACAGTCAGAGCAGCTTGCAACACCAACGCATGCTTCCATAGTGCCGTTGGCAAATACTGATACCCCAGACCCTAAACCCCTAAACACCTAAACCCCTAAACCCCTAAATTTAAACCACTAAACCCTAACCCTAAACCCTGTTCAAACAATTGCCACTATGTTGCAGAGGCATGCGCAGCTAACAAGCCGCCCGACATCCTGGCCAGGACTGTACATGGTATGCGGAGCCGAAGCATCACCCCAAGACGACCCGCAGAGCTGGTACGAGCTGTAGAACAGAGGGTAGACAACGGTATACAGCAGAGTACCTGCCATGTTCTAGCCTCCCGCAACAAGATCGCATCTGGATGTCTAGAGAGGTAGAATAGGTCACTAGTGGAAGGCGGGGTCACGTGGGACAGGCGCTTGACACGCAAAGGCGCATACTTTGATAGTCACTCAGTTTGCGCACCTTCAGGTTCCACATACAGCACGTGCCATCAACATCAACGAACTGGCTAGCAACAAGAAACTTCAAGGTCACAGAGCACGCACACACACACATTGAGCACTCTAGGGGCAAACACATTCAAGCGAGTGACATGTGGAAAGCTGTTCAGGCGCATGGCTCCCGAAGAGTACACACATTCGGTGTTCTTGGGGAGAGATTCTGTGATTGAAACTCTATCAGACTCCATCAGACATCAGCGCTTCTGATTGCAGCACCGATCTAACCTCCATTTCAGTGGCAACATATGTTCAGCGTACATATGCCAGGACCTTCACTGCGGCGCGAGTAGCAGAGTAGCATCAGCACTGGTGACTGACGGCCTCCAAACTGAGGCATCTACTTGAAAAGCGCGCGGCAACATCCGGCGAAGCTACACCACTGATTCGGAACACTGTTTTGGCCCGCGAGGCAGCACTCAGATCCGCTTCAGAGCTCACTAGACTCGGCTGACCACCCTGAGCTGTGGTGACATGCAGGCTGCTCACAGCTCGATGCAATCATGTTTCAATGTCTGTCCTCATGCTCACAGGATATCAGACTTTATCCGATTCGAGCATGCGAGCTACAGCAGCAAAGCCGAGCAAGCCGAGTGCAGACATACATACATACATACATACATACATACATACATACATACATATGTATATATACTTGGTTTATTTATTCATGATATGACATTTCTTGTTTGCATATTGTTGTGGGCATCATGGGCAGCCTGGCTCGCATTCTGCGCCCGAGAGTCGGACTGGCATGTGCAGGATTTGTCAAACTCGGGAGGTGTCACACCTCGTGCGGGCCGTGCATCGCTGCTAAACTCACTAGCGACTTACCAAGCGGAAGACCAAGCCCAACATATATCCTATTTAGTTATTTATTTCATATATATATATATAACGGCCAATCATAGATATGACGCCATTATTCACCACAAGGAAGCGGAAAAGCATGGCCGTAGCAAGCCTGATGCATGACAACCAGCAGCACCCTGCGGTTCGCCACCAGGTGAGCGAAACGTTGTGGGACCCACTACTTCTTGGCAAACTCCCCTTGAAAACCCACGCTGGGTGAAGCACAGTCCTCCTTTGACTTGGGATCCGTCTGGCCCTCCTGCAAGCAGTGACTATGGTGGGCATAAGATTTCGGACGCAGAAATAAACGTCATGGCTCGGCTCAAGGCAATTCGTGTATTATCGTGTATTATAGTGTATTATAGTACATTATAGTACATTATAGTATATTATAGTATATGAAAAAATATTATAGTATATCCTCCAACATCCGGATGCTCAGAAGACGGGCTCCGTCCTCCGCAAGGCCAGCAAGCTCCTCCAAGCGTGTTGCCAGCTGTCGGTTGGACGCCTGCGAGGAACGAAAGGATGTGAGTGAGCCGAACACTGAAGCATTGCTGAATATTGCCCCTGCCCAGAAGCCGGGGCCTCGGCATCCTAACTACTGTATCGGTCAGTTTCTACTTTCGCCCACCTGGAAAATACCAGTAACCCTAAACCCTTAACCCTGTAACAAATTGGGTGTATGCCAGTGCTGGTGACGGGCCACAAGTGCACGTGCAGTGTCCTGACAGTATCACGTCGGGTTTTCATGTGTACCCGGGCCTCCAGACCAGTCATCCTGTCACGAAGCGCAGTTCAAACCATTATAGTATGTATATTATAGTGTATTATAGTGTATTATAGTGTATTATAGTATATTATAGTATATTATAGTATATTATCGTATATTATAGTATATTATAGTATATTATTATAGTATATTATAGTATATTATAGTATATTATAGTATATTATAGTATATTATAGTATATTATAGTATAATATAGTACTTGACAGAAGCAGCCTCCCGACTCGCGACTTCTGAGGATTGTTGAGTACTTCAGTACTTCTGGCGAACGAAATCTTCGGCCTAGGTTGAGCTTATTTGCTAAAGGCTTGCAGCACAATCTGTGGCATGTACGTGCATGCTTAAGACACACACACACACGTTTAGATACCTAAGCATCTGCAACAAGTGTGCGTACAGGCTTGCAGGCACAAATTGCCACCAGCATACACAAGAAAAACATCATGGCACAGATTTGGTCACGCGTTTCCTCTATCAACCCCGTCCAGTGTGATGTGATGGTCTCCTTCAAAGCTTGAACCGTTAAGATCGCCGAGTTGCCAAAATTAAAAAAGGCTTCAAGTCGGCCATCTGCCAAAGGACCCCCTTCCTCCCTGAGCTGCTTCATCCCTTAGTGCGATCGACAGTACCCGAATTTACCAACGAGCGGCAGATACACGACCAACAAGCCGAGTGATGAGAACGCATGACGTACAAATCATGATCCCCAACATGGGGAGGATCGGCACGTGCCAACGAGAAGCTCTTCAATAATGGTCACAAGATTAACAGGAAGCCATCACCGCAAAACATGGGCAGGACAATGCAAAGTGAGGGCAACCGGACCACAGCCATGCACAGGCGCTTCACGGAAGCGAGCCAGCAGATGATCGCTACAAGTAGGTGGTTGATGAAGTTAAACCAGTGGATGAAGCGAGACAAAACATTGTGCGTGAGCCATGAAGACCATCAGGAAAGCGAAGGCTGAGCTGAAGCGCAACTGGATTCACGTCGCAGTACCGCACGGAGAGCAACTCCGGGCTGCGGCAAAACGAATGCGGGCGCCGTTACATTTTGTTTTATTCTTCGGATAGGTTGCATTAACACAACAAGGGGGTTCTTGTTCTTCAGATGTCGCGCAACAGTAATGACACATAACCAGATCTGCGGTTGCCCCTGCGACGGAGGAAGTTGCTACGTCGGTTGAACCACATACACTTCTGCCATCTGAATAATATGCATGTGCACACAGACGATATATACACAATTGAAAAAACAGATGCACGTACTTCCGCCTTGGGGCCTCCCTACAGGGCCAAGAGATTTTAAGAATAGCTCAGGTGAGCGGTCCTTGAGTTCATATGCCGCAGCTCACTTCGCATTTCCCGCGAGAGACCATCCAGGCGCTCGAGAACCTTTCATTGGAGTCGAGCTGACACGGATGTGATGGGTTCAGGCTTTAGGGTTTAGGGTTTTAGGGTTTAGGGTTTAGGGTTTAGGGATGAGTGTCCCGGGGATTCTAGGTAGGCTCGGACCCTCCCTTGAAGAGCCCCCCAATCTGATGTCAGCGGAGTGCAGGGGGACCTCTAAAGCACATAAGGGCCTACTTGAGGGTATCACATTGTGGCAGTACTCCCTAAACCCTTTTGCTGCAGGCTTGCGTGAATCCTCGCCTGGATGTGTCGCGCTTGTTCTCCGAACAAAGCCAGACACAGAATGAACCTACTGATTGACTCCCTAAACCCTAAACCCTAAACCCTAAACCCTAAAAGCACCCCCCATCATCCAACAGCCTCTTCTTCGCCTCCCCTCTTTAGGCGAGCGAGCTTGAAGCCCGGAAAGCAGCGGTCTCTCACATGAATACTGGAACTACATGTGGGCATTTTCAAATTCAGCGGGGGTACCCGTGATATACCCCAAAATAGTATAATCCTTATTATAGGAGCCCCCAAAAGGGTACGCCTACTCTCGGAAACCCCACCATAGCCCCATGCAACAGGGGGCTGAGCCTGCGCTATGCCACCCTCGGAGAAGCTGGGCGTCTGCTTCGGAGTCTGGCAGAGGCATTTGCCGTGGCTACCACGAGCTCTGAAACTTGAAGCATGGACAGTTTAGGGTTTAGGGTTTAGGGTAAAGCCTTGCAAGTTGAAGG